CTTATAGGTAGCACTTAGGAGGAATTATTTGCCATTTGACTACTTTTGCCATGCCTAGTCCTCCTTCTCTTCTTCCTTTTCAGATGTGGTTCAAATATATAGTATATATTTTTGACAAAAATTTTGATAGTAAACTTTAATTGCCCATAAACTCTTAGGTTATAGATACTTGCTCTTATATTTTTGGTGCTTTTTTCTTATTGCTTGTCCTAACCAGTTATTCTTGGAGGAGAGAACAATGCCCTATTAGACAGAGTAATTGATAAAAACATTTATTGTATAGCAACTGTATGTACAGAATATTGAGTTAAGCCTGTTAGTGACTATGGATTTTTTTTCTTTATATATAAAATCTACATAGAAATACATAGGTATAAAATGCATGAATATCTTAAACTTCCAGAAATGTTTGCCATATAAAATTATAAGAATAAACATAAATAAATAAAATATTTACTATACACTTCAAGGAAAACAGTCATCAGAGTTTTATTTTTTTTTATTTAATTTTTATTTTTTGGCTGGTTGGTTGGTACAGGGATCTGAACCCTTGACCTTGGTGTTATCAACACCACACTCTATTCAACTGAGCTATCTGGCCAGCCCCAGAATTTTTATTTTTAATATGAGGGAAAGGCTTGATGGCATTTCAGTTACAGAGCTGATTGACTTGTTGGAATAACATTAGAAAGCTATCTGGTGTTCATGTCTTCATGTCTTCCTGTTTCATTAGACAACCATGGCATCAGTATAGAGGGGACACTGAAGGATTCAGCTAGAAATATCAGTATATGAAAAGGACCAATTAGAATAAACAAACTAAAAAAGGCATTTTTAGTATATAATAATTAATATTTATAATGATGTGATAAAGTGCCCAATAAAAGGTTAAGTTATATTCATTAGTCTCTACTAAGATGGGGAATGTATAGTATACCATACAGAAAGAATTCTGTTGGAAATAGAAGAAACTTAGAGGAGATGCCTGAAAAAATATAATTATGTGACATACCATACTATCTAATCATGTGGCAAATGAGTCTTTAATTGATAGAGGTTTGGGTGGAGGTGGGATTAGTCTGCTGTGGTTCTTCATGGAGCACCGGTCATAAATTTTTCCAGCTGTTTCCTCTAAAATTACAGGTTCTGTTAACTCTCTGCCTTCAGTTATTTTATCCTTAGACACTGTATTACCTAATTTTTCTTTTTTTTTTCTTGCGGCTGGTCATTATGGGGATCCGAACTCTTGACTTTGTTGTTAGAACACTGTCTAACCAACTGAGCTAACTGGGCAGCCTATGTAATGTTTTTGTGAGTGTCACTAATTAGCTTTTAAGCCTGCTTGTCATTTTCCTGATAAGCCATTGCCACATCCCATATTATTGTGTATAGTATTCCACTGTATATATTAAATTTGGTATTGCTTATGATATGAATTTGACTGCTTATAAGAGATCCCAAGATAACAGTGACATAAACAAGATAGTTTATTTTTCTCTCATGTAAAAATCTGAGTTTGAGTGGTTTTCTGCTCTGTGGGTTAATCTCAGACCTAGCATTTTTTTGGTCTTATTTCCCTACCATTCCTAGCATGTAGTCCATGTCCACGTGGTATAAGATGATTTATTAGCAGTTTCATATTCCAGCCAGCCTGAAGAGTACTTCCTAATAGTAATTAGGAAGGAGAAGGCATTCCAGTTCTGTTTGAGAATCCAATTAAAAGTCGCACATGTCACTCTGCTCACATCCTGTTGGTTAGAATTTAGTCACATGGTAACACCTAGCTGCAAGGTTGGCTAGAAAAGAAGTCTTTATTCTGGGAAGTCATGTGCTCAGCTAAAAATTTGTAGGGGACGTTCTTTTACAAAGGAGAACGGGAGAACTGATATTGGCGAGACAACTAACAATTTCTGACATCTCATCAGTGAATACATACTAATGCTTCAGTTAACACATAAACATTGTAACTCTCACCCAAATGTATACCTTAAATTCTGACCTTTCTCCCAATATATAGTTGAATAAACATTGATATCTAAAATTTAGTATTTTAAATCTGATCAAACAAATTTCTTTCTTTTCTATTTTCTCTGTCTTGGGTAGTGGCACCATCATCTATTCCGTAAGTTACCCAAGTCAACAACCTGAAGTTTGTCTTTGGACTTCTTAGTAACTTTTCCTCTTATTCCTATATCTGATCAATCATGAAGTCCTAAAGAGCTCTTGAATCTATTTTTGTCCTTTCATTTCTAAACATCGTGGCTTTATTATTTCTCATTTGGATTACTGAGATAGCTTCCTAACTTACACACTGTTTCCAGAGTGATCACCCAGAAATAGATTGAACCATGTTACACCTATGCTCAATAACTAAAATGTATAGAGTACTTATTATGTGTAAGGTACTGTTTTAAGCACTTTACATTTATTAACCTTTTTATCCTCATACTAACCCTGTGAGGTTAAGAGGCAAAAGATGTTGAATAATTTGTGCATAGTCAGATAGTAATTGGCTAAGCCAGGATTTGGTCGGTATGGCTCCAGAGTTGTGTTTTAACTATTATATTATATTGTTCAAAATATTTGCCCTTTGCTTCCCAAGTAAAGTAAAATCTACTTTGTATACAAAACTCTTTCAAACTACTTTTTCTCATCTGTGTCTTGCCCCACTTAGCCTTAACTCTTGTTACTAAACATCATGTATGCTGCTCATGCTAACTAGACACACAGCATGCTTTTTCTCACTATTGTGTTTTCCCCAGTTCCTTCAACTGGTTTTGTTCTCTTTCAGTTAGACTCCTCAGCTCACCAGTCTGCATCTTTTGGCTCCCGCAGTCTAAGTCAGAAACCTCTTTGGTGTACTTTTATGTCATCCTTTAGATCCTTCTATCATAGCTCCCATTACCCTGAATTATAATTGTCTACATTCTGTCTGTTTTTTGGTAAGCTTCTCAAAGAATGTTGTCTTTCATATTGCCTTACACTAAAAAACTGTTGGTTTCCTTTCTTCCCACATCCTTCTGCTGCTATTCAGAGTCATCAATGACCTCTAACCAACAAAATCTATAGCCTTTTTTTCAGGCTTCTTTTTTAAAAAGTTTCTGTAGTATATTGAAATAATCTTTTCTTTTGGCTTCCATGATACTGTACGGGAGGCTAATCTTTATCTCTACCAATGTTCTTATTTTGGATGGACCTCTGAAACAGTAGACGGACTAACGAGAAAAGCGAACAAGCTTATTAATGCATACAGCGCACATCATGCAGGAGAAACCTCAGTGCAAAGTAACTCAAAATGGTGGCTTAGAACTCCACCATATATAACATCTTCAACAAAGAACAGTAAATTTGTAGAGAGATGACAGGACAAAGAAAAGTGGTTTTAGGCTTACAAGGGCAGGAAACTGGGAAGGCAAATATGTGGGAGGAAACTAATGGAATAAGGTTTGTTTGCAGATTCCTCTGGTGTATACCTGTCTGGGTTTATAAGAGTCTAGAGTTGTCTACAGTAAAGAAGAATTTATATGCTGTCTTTAGGCAAAAAAGGGGGAAGATAGAGAAAATATTTTCTTCATTTTCTGTTTCTTAATTGCCTTCAGCTCAAAAATAATTTAATGACAAAGAGGCATGTTTTGAGATGACATATTCTGGTTTCTTCAATACCTCGATGCTCTCATTTTTTTCCTTTACTTCTCTAGCTCCATTCTTTCCTCTTTTTTTCCTAACTGTGGTTTTTAGGACTCAATCAGCAATGTCTGTTTTCTTATTTTTCATCTAGTTAGAGAATTCCTTTTCTTTCTTTCCTCTTCTTTCTGTAATTGTCCTCTAGGAACTTCCCAATATAAATTACTTACTGAACACTTTATTTTCTGCCAGGCACTAAACTCTTTACATACTTTATGTCTTTTAATTTTTTACTATGAGGTAGGTGGCTATATTGCTGTCTTACAGGTGAGTTAAATGGACCTAATAGAAAATAACTTGCCCCCCCCCCCGATTCACATAAGGTGTTGGAGTTGGGATTCTAATTCAGTTTTGTATTTTAAAAGTCTTTGATTTTTATCAACTGTATCATACTGCTTATTAATATCTTAACACTCACTATATCCAGAACTGCCCTCTTCTGAATGGGACCCTCTCCTGATGTTACTATTTATTTCGTTATTTATATCATTCTTCACTTACTGCCGTTTTGCTCCACAGTCTGTCCTGTTTGTTTTTCCTTAGCAATTTTCAATTTCGAGTGCCACTCCCTAGTTTAGTTCTTTATTGCCAGTTTATTGTATAGTGATCCAAATTCATATTTATTAACAAAGACAGGGTGGAAGTTTTAAAATCTGACCTTTATGACCTTTGGTCTCTCTTTTGAGCTTTTCTCCCCTAGTTCAAATAAATCAGTCTACTTATGTTTTTCATCATTAATTCTCCCTGCCTTTAAAATAATCTCTGTATTTTATCTTTATTGAAATCTGAGGTCTAATTACATGGGCTTGATTTACTGTCCATAGAAAATTGCTATCTTTTCTGAACTCCCCCGTACTACTTTGTTTTCTGTAATTTCATTTGAAAATATACTATTGTGTCTTACTGGTTAACTGTTAACTGTTCGTGTCTGTATTTTATTTTTCTTTCCAACTGAAGTATAAGTTCCTTGAAGTCAGAGTTAGTTCTTACACTTCTATGTATTGTCCATGTTCAGCATCTAGCATAATGCCAGGAACATTTTAGATGATTGAAACATTGAATGAATGTATACTATTACATTAATACTTGTCTTCTTAGTGGGGTTTAGAAAAAAATTTAATACTACTAAAAGAGCTTAAATCACCATGGAACTATCTTGGAAGAAACCTCTTCAAGTATTATTTTGAAGAGATTAAGTAGATTGATAGTTTAAATAGTTTACTGTATGTTTTAATTTTATATTTTTGAAAATTATGACAGTTTTCTTTTTTCATCCCCCAACCCGTTCTCTCTTTTTCTTTTTTACTCTTTGGCAGCCGGTTCGAAGACAGTCCCTTACCCCACCTCCTCAGAACACTATTACATGGGAAGAATATATATCTGCTGAAAATGGAAAGTAGGTGGTTTTTTAAATATATTATTTGGTTTTTAGAAAGAGCAGTTTGTAAAATCAGAATATGTGAATATTTAGGTGGAATAATTATTTTAGAGAGAGAATTATTGGTATATTTTTTGTCTGAAGCAGTTCTTCTGCCTTTTAAAAATATGGATTAAGCATGATGAGAGAGAATTATCCCAAATTATGTACACTCTGAGTAAGGTTGTAGAGCCTTCTTTTACATCCCTCCTGCCAATTTACACACAGCAAAAAAACTATAGGACATTGTTCTACGGAAATATAATGTAGAGGATTGCCTAATGCAGTGTTTCTTTGAGATTTTCCAGTATGATGAATTTTTGTATTTCGTGATTATCCTGATTCTTTAGCATGATTTGTAAGGCTATTCACTATTGTCTCCTTCTTGCCTTTCCCAGCTCATTTCCTGTCATTATCCTTTTGTTTCAGCCTTTGCTGGACTACTTCTCACCATCCTTCCACAGGACCTTTGCTTAATGTTATATTACTAACAGTAGAGTACCTGGCTCATAGCTCATATTCAGTACATATTTATTGACTAAAAGAATGATGAATGAATAAAGAAAAGGTTTGTTTTGAGTGAAAGAGAAAAAAAAGTTTATTCTGGCCAATCATTATGTCCTTTTGGTGGAGAATAAAATATTACCTACTCCTATGCTCAGGAAGAAGTTGTCATCATGTTTTTTTTCTTATTAAGAAGTTTATTTTTTTTTCTAACTTCCCTAGAATGTTTCTATCTTTATATTCAATAGTGTTAGACAAATTTTATGGGAGGTCCTTATGGACTAGCCTCCTTCACTAGACCTCAGCAGACCAGACTGAACCAGAATGTAGTCACTTGTGCTGAGTGCCAAAAAATCAAACTTTTGAAATGGGGCAGTTTTCCAAAAAACCAGGAGATTCTAGCCAAACTGAGTCACCATAGTAAGGAAGTCCCCTTTGTTTTAATCCTGTAAGGAAAGTAACGTTAAAATGACCATTCTGCTTTTTGTTCCATTTCTGCTTTCTTTAGCCATTTTCTGTCTTTAAAACCAACCTCCTCGGCTCAGCCCATTGAAACACTCATTCTATTTTTATTTTTTTTTCTTTTTGAGACCGGCCGCACCGCGCTCAGCCAGTGAGCGCTGTGAGCGCACAGGCCATCCCTATATAGGATCTGAACCCACGGCGGGAGCGCTGCCGCACTCCCAGCACCGCACTCTCCCGAGTGCGCCATGGGCTCGGCCCACACTCATTCTATTTTATAGAACAAGGTGTTGCCCTATCCTAGAATCACAATTAAAAGTCAATTAGATCTTTAAACAAAATTCATTGTTATTTTGTCTTTTGACAATAGTTAACATAGAATTCTTTATTCTTCACAATACTTCTAATTGATCAATGCTGAGACTGTAGTAGACAGTAAAGAAGACTGAATTAAGTAATTTTAAAGATATACAATGATACTTTTAAAAGTTTGTTTTTTCTAGTGATTTTCTTTGTTCCTACAAATAGTGATTGTTAAAAGTATATTCAGTGTGAAATTAGTTGAGGTCTGATAATTTTCTTCTGAACTTTCACTATTTTCTGTTTTTGTTATCTGTGTCTCATTTCTTATATACAACTTTTTCCCACTTAGCATAATTTTAATTTAGTTCTGTAGACAGAGAAAGAAAAATTGAAATACTAATGAATGTCACTGGAAGATAATAGCTTCTTCTTAGAAAGGTGATAGCCTATGAAAAAACATTCCTAACATTCTTTTTTTTTCCCTCCATTTTAGAGCTCCTCATTTGGGTAGAGAACTGGTGTGTAAAGAGAGTAAGAAAACCTTTAAAGCCACGATAGCCATGAGTCAGGAATTTCCCTTAGGGATTGAGTCGTAAGTTTGTTACTAATTATACATGTTTATGAACGAAGTTATTAAACCATAAAGGCTACAAAATTTCCATCTGAGTGGTCCATTTGAGGCGTTTGAAATATAAAAGCAAATAGCCATTGTGTTGATGGTATGTGCACCCTTTTCCTAGAAATTTTTTGGTTCACCAAAGTATTAATATTTTTATTTTCACCAGATACATTTTTGAATAGTTTTTCTTAAATTATAAAAGTCATGCCTGATTATATGCTTATTGTAAAAATGTCTAAAAGTGTGGAAGTTTATATAATAAAAAATGATACTTTCTTTTTACCACATTAATAGTTAGTGACTATTTGGTCTGTTTTTATCTAGACTTACCTGTGTTTTTGCATTTTTTTATAAAAATGGGGGAATAGTTTGCATTTTGTTCTGTAAGTTTCTTTTTTTCTTTTGGAAGCGAATGTATCTTGGAATTCTTAGAGTAATTATATTTTTATCTATCTTATTCTTTTTCCTGTTTCCTTGGTATTTTGTAGTATTGATGTACTGTAATCTATTTTGTGATTCCCCTACTGGTAAACATTTTGGTTGTTCATAGTTTTTCACCATTATAAACATTTTTCTAGTGAAAATCTTGAATATATTCTTTTTAACCTGTACTCACCAGATGCTTCCTTTAAAAAAATCCAATTTGAAGAGATGGGTGGAATGGAAGGTGGGTAGCTAGAGCTGGCACTGATAGAACTGTAGCTTTAGGCTCCTCACTAAAGTCAGGGGAGGGGGATGAGTTGAAGGCCCTAGATTTTCTTCTCTTCCTAGTGTTTTACCCTTCCAGTTTGGTCTAATACAGTCAAAACAAAACAAAAGAAAAACAAAACTGGACAAGTACATTAAAAAAAATTCTCAGAAAAGACAGCAGGACCCATATTTTCCAACAAAGTCCATACATATAGCATACTTCCTGTCCTTGCCCCATAACCAAGCTTTAGAAAAGTACATAGAATGTTCTATACAGACCTCAAACTACAGTTAGAGAGAGATAAGTCTCAGAAAATGTGAGAAAGGAATTAGCCACATGTACAAATCTGCCATAATTCATTGTATCTAGGATCCAGTTTACTCAAAGGTACAATAATTTTATATTCTACTTATTAGTAAAGAAGAAAAATGTAGCTAATGTTAAGATGCCATCAATTTTAGGAATTATCCCAATTTCAGGTATGTTTGTATGTGAAAAAATAGATATCTTACAATTTATAAAATTTGGCAATTGTAACCTAAAAAAAAAAGTGAAATAAGGATGCAAAAGCATGCAAAAGCCAGACAAAGAGTTTACTCTAGAATAAAAAACAGGTCAAAGAACAGAAGAAAATTCCCTGGAAGTGTTATAAAAAAAAAACATAAAAGCAACATGAAATCAATAAACTAGATCACTATGAAATGATAAGACTGCTAGAATAAAAAACAGGTCAAAGAACAGAAGAAAATTCCCTGGAAGTGTTATAAAAAAAAAAACATAAAAGCAACATGAAATCAATAAACTAGATCACTATGAAATGATAAGACTGTAAAAGGAAATGAAAAGGAGATTGTAAAGCTGAGGAAATAAACTGAGCACTGAACAGCACTATTACAAAACAAATACATTAGAAACAATAATGAATAGAATAGATGTGGCTGAAAATTAAGTTTTGACAGCTCAAAGTGAATGCATCGGAAGAAGAAATTAAAGAACTTAAGAATAAATAAATAAGGAGGGCACATATGGTTCAACATAAGAATCATTGGGGTTCTAATTAAATAGAAAGCCTCCAAAATGTAACTAAAATAGTGTTCAAAATATGACAGAAGAAAATTTCTCTGCAATGAAGAAGTGAATCTGTAGGATAACATTAAGTTCTGAGAAATGTTGATACAGAATGATCAGCAACATAAATTATACTGATTAAACTAATCAGCTTCAATTGTTAATAATAATAATAATAATAAAGGCATCCAAGCAGAAAAGAGGTAAAATCAGCCTGGCCTTGCATTTTTAAATATGTCTTGACATGTCTGAAGAAAAGAAAGTGTGATATGATAGTATATATTGCTAAGATGTCATTTATGTATCAAGGCAACTGAAGATATTCTCAGACATAGAAAAACTCGAGAGGCAACCATAGGCCTTTTTTGAAAGAAAAATACTACCACTTGAAAATGAAATCCATTCAACCAGAAGATGAAAAGAGAAGTTGTATTATAATGACTAATGTGATACAGAATGCTAGGAGACCTTATGAAATTATAGTTCAGAGGGAAAGATAGTATAATCTGAAATAAAAGACAAGAAACACTAGTTTATCAAATATACAAGAAATCAAGGTATTAAGCACGTAAAAGCCTTCACACATATGATAGATATACTGACTGCAATGCAGCCACCCTAGCAGTGAGTCTAATTAAGGAACTCAGGATTGTGTAGACTTCAGGAAGAAGACAGGTGTAATCCTTGAATCTTTTAAAATATGGACCTAAAATCAAACATCTATAGAAATTATGGCTATATAATCAAAAATTATAAACCCTGACACAGTTAAAAGAAAAATAAAAAAAGCAGGAGGAATACCAGCCAGCTGCCAAAACTAAACAAAACAAAACAAAAATTAGGAGGAAAAAGGCATGTTATTTCCTCATTCTTAATATCTGGAAGTCAGTACTACTGTCTAAATTTGAAGAATATGGTTAAAAAACAATGTAAAAACAAACCACCTTGAACAATGAAAACATTTTTTCTTCTTCCATTTTTCAGATTATTGAATGTTTTAGAAGTAATAGCTCCGTTTAAGCACTTTAACAAGCTTAGAGAATTTGTTCAGATGAAGCTTCCTCCAGGCTTTCCTGTTAAATTAGGTAAGAGAAAAATTTAGATGTAATTTTAGAGTCTATTAGAAATATAAAGTTGTTTACTAATATTTAATAAGAAATATGTATGAAAGGAAAATAAGTTTCCTAGTTGCTTACATTTTTGTAAAGTTTTTCTCTATATGCATCGATATTCATGCTTTGTCAAATATATAAAGTATCTGGTGAGAGTTCTAATTCTACTTGATTTAAAGTAAATGTAAAGGATATGAAAATATTTCATACAAGAAGGTCCAGATCACTAATGGTGGGATGTAGTAATGTTTTAATGTAAAATAGAGAGACTGGAGTTTAGTCCAAGTTTTCAGCATACACTGAGTTTCTGCATAGTGGGAATGTTTCTGGAGTCAGCAGTTAATATTGATGGCTAAAGTGATAATCATACATTTATTTTTAGTCTTAAATGTTTAAACTTAATTTCATCTTAAGCAATGATCTTTAGGAACTGTAAACTCATTTTTACACATACTTATCTTTCTAACTTAGGAGGTGTGTTCAAAAAGTTCATGGAAAGATTTGTATTATCTTTTCATTTTACCTTTTGTGAATTTTTTGAAGTATCCTCAAATATCAGAAAATTGGAAACAAGAGGCTATTAAAGGTATTTTAGGAGCTTAGGCTTAGCTTTAGCATTAATTTAACCTTCAGGAGAGCCTTTAATACCATCCATTGATCCAGCTACCAAACATTTAATCAGGGTTTGCTATGTGCCATATACTCTTCTAGGGATGGGAAACATGAAAAGTTCTTGCCCTTTTTGTTTTTGCATTCTAGTTGGAGAGTAAAATAAATATATAGTAACTCTAATCTTTATCTAATTCCTCAGATATGTATTACCTTGTTTCATCCAATATTTAAAAACCCACATCTCAGAGTAATTAGGCCAAAATGCTTTACTTCTACAAATAATGTTTTCATTGCTAAAAATTAAACCTGTCTCAATTTTCTAAACTTGGAAATAAGCATTTTTTTGGATTCAAATAGACGTTAGGGCTGGCTGGGTTGCTCAGTTTGTTAGAGTGCATTATTCTAACACCAAGATCAAGGGTTTGGATTCCCGTACTGGCCAGCCGCCCCCCCCCCCCAAAAAAAAAATTGACTTTAAAACAATTTTTAAAATGTTGCTGTAGCTGCCCTTTGAAATGTAAAATCACTGTGGCAAACCAGTGTTTGCTGGGAGAAACCAGTGATAAGATCTTAGGCAGAAATGGTTAGAAAACTAAAGCAATCAACAGTTGTGTGTTCTAGCCATGGATAATGGATAGTTGTGTGAACATTTCAGCAGAAGTTTGAAATTCCACTGCCATTTTTTATGGCCAGAAAATATTTCAAGCATTGGACTTCCTTCCAGGTACTGTTAAGAGGCACAATGACAAACTAGAGGACAGGTGTTGAATAGATGAATATTCCAAACCATCTCTGCATTAGCATCTATTTTTAAGTTTCAAACCCAAATCAAACCCAAAATAAAATATAGATTTTTATGCAAAAGAAATATTTTGAATATATGTGAAAGAAAAAAGTCTACAATGCTTTTTTGCAGGCATTTCTCTTATGCAGAATCACATTCTTAGCAAGGGATAGATAATAAGGAATTTGATCAGCTGTGTCTGTCATTTATTTATCCTTCTTTTGAGCCAACCCTATGAAACTCTATTATTGTGTTGGTTTAATCTTCTACCATTTCTGTTTCTATATTCAGAATAAAAATCACAATCGGCAAAATTACAAAAATTTGGAAATTGTTAACACAATTACGTTTTCAGAATCAGCTAGAGCTTTACTGATTGTGAGTGATTTTTTCTCTGATTTGCTTCCTTTCTTATTCTACTCAAAGGCTAAGTTTGAACCTGTTTTATCAAATCTCCATCCTCCCTCACTACTTCCTCCTACACTCTAAGCAGTTTTTACTTCTTTTGTTACAAAAAGAGACTGTCACAAACAAGACCTCTCTTACTACTTCCAGCCCACATATAGACTTTTCTGTCCCAAACCCCATCTTTTTCTTCCATCCTTCCTATCACAGTGGAAGTGGTGCTCCTCTTCTTAGCTTGAATAATTTCATTTGTACTATGGATTTATTCTCCTCCCAGCTCTTTTAAAAAGCTTGCTCTATCAGTCATCTCATATTTCTTCTTTACCTTCCACCTCTCTTTTCTACCACGTTTTTCCTCTTAGTTGTTAGGCTTGTTCAGGTCTTTCTTCTTTTAATATTCAGCTAACCTACCAAAATATAATAATCACTGTAACTCCACTATACCCACTACTTGCTTTAATCTTTGCTTTTCACAGCCAAGCTATTTGAAAGTCTTTTATCTCTCCATTCCTACTTCCTATTTATAGTTATATTATATATGGGGGAAGGTAAAGGTACATAAAGGGAGACAAGGTGTCTGCTTTACTTGAACTGGTAAAATGATGACACCAAGAAATTATGATGTTAGATGTAGGAAATGTATACCTAGAACAACCACTAAAGATGCTATACAAAGAGATACACTCAAAAACACTATAGATAAATAAAAAGGAAATTCTAAAAAATAAAAAATAGAACAAAGAAAAGAAAAATGAAATTTTTATTTTGGTTTTATTTGTAATAGCCAAAAACTACAATTTTCAACAGAAGAATGAACTATGGTACATTTAAACCAAGGAATACTGTTGAACCAGTAAATAAGAACAAACTGTTAATACATGAAACAACCTAGTTTAATCACTAGAGAATTATGCTGAGTAAGAAAAAGCCAATGCTAAAGGACACATACTGTATGATTCCATTTATAAAAAGTGCTTGAAGTGAAAAAACTATAGAAACAAACAGTTTATTCGTTTCCAGGGATCAAGGAAGGGGCAGGGCATAAGGGAAGTGAATGTGGCAATAAAAGGGCAATATTAGGGATCCAACATGAGGGCAACATATGGTGATGAAGATATTCTTCATCTTTTACATATTATCTATATCCTGATTTTGATATTTCATTTTTTATAAGATGTTACCATTGGGGGAAATTGGATAAAGGGTACAGAAGATCTTTGCATATGAATCTATAATTATCTTAAAATAAAAAGTTTATTCCCATTCTTCATCCATTGCAGATTCCACTCTTATATGTTTATTATTGATATTCCTATTGTTAAATCTGGTGGGAACTTCTCTGTTATTTATTTATTTACTGATCTATTCATCTATCTATCTATTTATTTATTTATTTTTGGTGGCTGCCTGGTACAGGGAATCCTAACTCTTGACCTTGGTTTTACAACACTGCGCTCTAATTGACTGAGCTAACTCTCAGCCCCTTGTCTGTTTTTATCTTAAAGATTTGACTCTTTCTTGGAGTCCTTGTCTCAATGAATGACTAAGACAAGTCATTCAAATTTCCTCTGACTGCTCCTTCTGGAGCACATCTCTCTTTTTACACTTTTCACCCTACTTTATATTCTCATTACATTTCCTGAAACTTAAGATATGTTACTACTCTGGTCCCAACCTTCTATTGGCTTTCCATCTCATCCAGAGTAAAAGCCAGAGTTCTTTCCTTGGTCTAAATCTACCACCTGATCTGGCTGCCTATCTCTCCTGTGACATTATCTCTTGCTAATCTTCCTCTCATTCACTTGGCATCAGCCACACTGGCCTCCTAGTTCCCAGAAGAAATCAGACACTCTTTTTTTTTTTTTTTTTTTAGGGCTTTTGTACTTCTTGTTTCTTCTATTTGGAATTTTCTTTCTCTAGGCAACTTCATGGTTTGTTCTTTTGTCAGGTCTTTGCTGAAATGTCATTTCACTGAGGTTTTCCTTTGATCACCCCATTCAACAACTCTTCCTCCAACATTGAGACTCCCTATTCCCCTACCATGCTTTATTTTTGTCTAGATGCTTATTATCACCATTACTTTTTGCTTATTTGTTGTCTGTCTCTCTCGACTAGAGCATAATCTCCATTATGCTCTGATGTATATCCAATGCCTAAAACAGGAGTCAGCAAACTTTTCCTGAAAGACAGTAAATATTTAGGCTTTGCAGGCCATATGGTTTCTGTCACAACTCCTTTTTTTTTGGAATACGAAAGCAGACAATGAGTAAGTGAATGGGTATGTTGTGTTCCAGTAAAACTATTTATGGACACTGAAGTTTGACTTTCATGTAATTTTCACTTCACAAAATGCTATTCTTTTTTTCAACAACCATTGAAAAATGTAAAATTTTTTAGCTCATGGGCCTTACAAAAACAGGCAAGGCAGTGGGCCTTACCCCCTGCATTAGAAGAGCTTCTACATATAGTAGGCACAAATGATTTTTCCTCCAGAAATTACTGGAAACTCTTCAATTCTTATGTTGATTTTTGTGTTTAAGTCTCATTAAGGTGTTTTGTAAAACGTGACAGTATTATTGTTTGCAATAAAACACTAGCCTTATAACAGTCAAACTTAATGTCTGTCTGATGTCTTTACCTTAGACATTTGAGTTAACTTTCATGGACCCATTTCAGAGTTTTAAGGGAGTTTCATAGTTTATTTTGTAGGTGAAATTCCTGGGGCTTATAAGTAAAATGATTTTAGTGATCAGAACCTAGGTTTTATGATTTGCGCTTTTTACAATAACTCACATGGGGAATAAAACTAAGTGGAATGATTAACACTTTTGCACATTTTATTTATTTTATTAGGATTTCCTACCCTCAACAGTTACAGAAGGAATTAAGCTTCTAATATATGGACTTTGGGGGACACAATTTAATCAATCCACAGCACCGCTTGTTTTATTTATTTATTTATTTTGGTGGCTGGCCAGTATGGGGATCTGAACCATTGACCTTGATGTTGCAAGACTGTGCTCTAACCAACTGAGCTAACTGGCCAGCCCTACTTGCCAATTTTAAATGCCAGATTTCAGTTGTAATTTCAGCCAGAAATGTATTTCATTTAGAACGTTAGGTTGTGGTGGTATGGTACTACTCCAATTCTGATGATACTGTTTTTATCTCACATATTTAAGTGATGGGTTGTTTTTAGTGTTTTAAAACAAAAAAGGATTAGTGTATTTTACTTGAGTTAGTTAGAATGAAAAGAAATAAGTTCAAAGACTCAGAAAAATATATATATACCATAATCGGAAGAAAATAGGCCAGAATATAAAAGCTACAAAAGTAGCTGTCCCTCTGCCCCAAGGAAAAGAAAAAAGACTGGTGAAATCTGGCATTATATTAAGATTGGGAAGAAATGGGATCTTGAGTTTTTGATGTAATTCTCGATGCCTTAGTATTTTTCTCTTACTAGTACCCAAACCCTTTACACACACTCAGTATTAGACATATATTTAGATTTTTCTGGTCCTTGAGTAATGTTTTTTACATTTTAAGAGTATGAGCATCACTAATAGTACTTAATAGTCTATAAATAGATTAATGTTTGAATTTACGGTAATTGTTACATTGATTGTTCTCTCTGTAGATATACCTGTGTTTCCCACGATCACAGCCACTGTGACTTTTCAGGAGTTTCGATATGATGAGTTTGATGGCTCCATCTTTACTATACCTGATGACTACAAGGAAGACCCAAGCCGTTTTCCTGATCTTTAACTGACATGGAAAATGATGTCATCTAACCAAGGAAAGAGAATACAGAGACCCCAGAAGTGAATCCAAATAGAAGGGACAAATGCTTTCAGTGAAGAAAAGGGAATTACTCATTGAATTGACACATCAGTAATATGATATAATGAAATGGGCCTCTAATGAGAATTTCAGCAATTCATCAATTCCTGATGTGCCATTTTCAGTCTTTTTAAAAATATACATATTACAAGCATAATAGTTTCACACATTAATAATCCTAAGACCTTCGTATGTAAAGCAGCTATGAGTGCTGTGATTTGTTTTTAAAAATTTTTACACTTCTTGTTGAAATATATATGCATATAAATATATCTATATCTATAAATCTATATCTAAAACTCTCCTGGACCATTAACGTAAATTAAATGTCTTAAGAGATATAAAACCCTTTTTAAACTTGTCATCTTATATTCAAGGTGACATTTAGAAGTATTCCTTGAAGCTTTGTTTTCATAAAATGTAAACTATGTAACATTATGTATAGGTCAGTAATTTGAATGTTTGTTCAATATAATGAACTAGAAGGAACGCAATTTTCTGTAGATGAATGAACCAAATGGTAACCATTAAACAATTGCATTTATATGTTGCAATACATTTCAGAAGGAGCGTTCACTCTGCAGGGAATAAGGTACCTCCTTTAGCACCTTAGTGCAATTCATTGTGGTGCTATTTGTTTTTACCTAAATTCTTTCTTCAGTGGAAAATGTTTGTTACTAATCTTCCTTTCATAGAACCTTTATTTTATTTTTTTCTCCTAAACTTTAGTTTAAGAATCATTGTTATGTTCATGATAAAGGTATGGTTAGCATGCTTAAAGATATTTCTCTTCCAAATTTCAGCACTTTAAAAAATATTCCAAATTTTTAAACTTGCTTCCTAATAAGTGCACATCAGTTTGATTATTTTGTTTGTTCTTAGTGGAATATGGATGCATTAGTGTCACTTTTAAAAAACAATTCATGTATTTTGGACAACCCTACGTGTTTAATGCTTTCAAAATAAGGTAAAAATATTTTATATGCTAACAGAATATATTTGTTACAAGTTTAAGACCAGGAGCAAGATCGACAGTTCCTATTTTTTTTAAGTCACAGGAAAATATTTATTGATTTTAATTGTCTCCAAAGTGTTAAAATCATGCATTACTCATTTCTGCACTTGAAATTTTTCATATTTATTCCAAGATGGTTTGAAGGTCCAAGAATGAAAATAAATGAGGGAGAATAATGTATAACAGTCATAAAGTGTCATGTTCTATTAAAGAGCTTAGCTAAATGTGTTTTAAATATATCCTGATGAAGGTGTCAAGAATGCATCTGTCAAGTATTTTAGAGTGACTGGTAGTTTAAACTTTTCCCAGGATTTTAGATAATTAGAAATGAGTTTTAGAGACCTTTATTGACGAGATGATTTATTTAAAAACCCAAAGCAGTCAACCATAAGAAAAATTTTATAACATCTTTAAAGCTGCATCTTCCATACTGATACATACATTGCATATGTTGACATTTTGTTAAGTACATTTTATAATGAAGAAAAATAATCATAGTTAAAAATTCAAAGACCTAATTACTACCTTATGTGGGTCTTTTGAATTTTGAGGAGAGTTGATAAACCCAGACTAGCCTTGTTGAATAGAAGTTGTTCCCTGTTATTTAGGGAATGGTTGTAGATCATGTGACTTAGAGACTGAATTATGCTGTCAGTGGTCGTAGGAGGTTTGAGACACTGAAAGGCTGTGATCATTGTTGCTTGTAAGTGCCCTTTGTAGGAATATGGTATACTTTGAAGAATATACTGCAGATTTTTTCACAATTGCAGACACCTTAGAGAGGAAAAAACATGGTAAATTGCAGCTTGGGATTTATCAGTTTCCCAACAGCTGTGAATATTTTGCAGGTGTACACTGGAGGTAGAAAGACTACTGAAAACTTTTGCACTTGGATCTTGTTTTTAAGATTTATCTTTTTCTTTAAAGAATAGTAGGAACAGATTATCCATTCCAAAATGTCTTTTCTCTGATCACAAATAAGAAATATTGGTATCTTTTATGATGGTGGAAAAAAGGAGTTAATGCAAATAAAATTTTCACAATATTAGATTTTTCAGAATGTGCCTTTTAATCCAGTTAATGAAGGTAAATGCTGTGTTTCATATGAATAGTTCATAACAAATATTTTTACAGTCTCACATGCAAAATCAAGATTTTGTAATATGGGTGCATAATATTCTATATGCCCTCCATTTGAGATTTTAGAAACTGTTTAAACTCAGGTGGGGGTGGAGGAGGGAGACTTTAAGATAGTCATTTTAAATGGCCATTTGGAAATGTTAAATATTCCTACCCCCAATATGATATCTAAAGAAGATACAGTTCCTGTCTTCAAGAAAATTATTCTCTAATGAGACAATTAGCCTTCTGTAGACATTCATACAAAGAGAATTGTCAGACTTCTTAAAAGGGAAGTATAAAGCAGACACCCTGATTATCATGAGATGTACATGCGATGATTTGGAAGTGACATGTCTGTCAGCTGATAGGCGATAGAAGCAGAAAAACAAGTTTCCTTCTCCTGCTCAGAACTTAAAAAACGAATAAAAATGGGTTCTCATAGTGGTATTTACAGTTTATTATTCACACCTTGGGAAGAGGAGGTGAATTGTTTAGTGAGCCTTCTACCTAGTTTTCAGTAAGTCTACAGCAGACAATGGTCCTGTTTTAAGGCCATGAAAGTTCTGGAGTAAATACTCTTAGAAAAAAGGAGTGTTTCCTTTTGCTCATTTTTGTTACTTTTATTTGCAACATGCTAGAGAAAAAGTTGGAATAGAAAACTGAATTCAAAGTCCTGTTTGTAGTATGCTAGCCCTTAAAATTCAGTGGAAGAATCATTGATCTCAGATTAGTATGGGGGACACAATATGCCTCTGCTAACTCCAGCAAAATGTATCTTTCTTAATCATGTTTCCTAAAATTAACAACATGCATCCTTAGCCAAGTTCCTATATTTGGAAATTGGAAATTTTCAAAGACAACTGACAGTGAAACTTGCCCCAGAGAGAAATAGATAGGAGGTATTAAATCACTTTAGTTTAGCAAAGTTAAACCTGGTAAAAGCCCATGATTTATTTGTATACTATAAATTAGCCAAAACTACTTTTGAAAGCGTTTTGTCAGAAATCTGTGGCAATAGTATCTTTAGTTGCCATTTAAAAATTTTGTGTCAAGCATAATCACATTTTTAGTGATTTAGATAATTATGTGACCATCCTTATAGGACTGCCTTGTGTTGATCTTTTTAAAAGTTACAGCTTATTTTGGAATAGCATTTTGAGCCATAATGCTATCTATGGTACAGAGAATTACAATTTCACTTTTGCTACACCTAAAAATATTAAAGCAAAATCTAAAGTTTCCAAGACAGGTACAGTTATTCATTCCAGCTTTTAAACATGTTTTGAAAAACAAGTTTCAAACAAGGTGAATTTGACTTTAACTGGCTTCAAGTGGAAACATTTTGTAACATAAAAACAAAAAAACTCACCACTTATTTACCGTACCTACCATATGTAGAAGTTCTTGGTCACTAAAGAAATCTGACAGTGACTGGCCAGGATGTTTTAAGTAATGAATGAGTGGTGTAGGAGTTTTGGAGAGAAGTGAAATTTTGTAGCTCACAGACATTGTGGCTTATCTGATGCCCCTTTGGGATGATTGCTCCACCTTCTGCTTGGATCCTCCTTCAGCTTTTCAGATTTCTGGGCCAGGTGTATGTGTTTAGCTCCATGCTAAAGTGCTATGGCTTCTGCAAGACAACCATGCCACCAAGGTTAGAAGCAAGACCTGACCAGTTCCAGTACATCCTTGTGGATTCCAGCTTGTGCTTGATACCAGCATATTCTGTCACCTGCTCCCACCAATCCCATCTACCCTTCCCACTCCTCCCCGCCACCAGCCCACACAATCATCCATCTTCCCTTCCTAACAACTGCTAGTGGACTTCAGTCTCCAGCATCAGATGCAAAGACAAAAGCCTTAAAAAGACAGCTTAACAAGCTCCCACAATTGTTAATGTCAAATCCCTGTTATAAAATGGTGGTTCCGTTTCTTGATCGAATCCCGACTGAAACATTAATTTTGTCGAAAGAAAAACGTTCTTGATCTACTTGATACCTGTCTTCCCAAATTTGGCATTTAGCAGAATTTAACTCTGTCAACTTAGTGAAGGAAAAATGGCAGTTTTTACATTTAGTATACTGTTAAAATTACACTTAATGTATCTGCAGAAAGTTCCACCCATTTATATCTAGTATATTTGGCAGAAAAATTCTTTAAAATTACATCTTGGGATAACTGAACAGTAACATTAAACATGACTTGGAACATTCCATTCTTTAATTTGTAACCCCAGACCTTAAATTTCTCATGCACAAATCATACTTTAGCCAACTAGCTTTTTTATAAAAAGGGCATCATGGTACTAATTTTAGTGACAGTGCACTGCAAAAATAACCTTTAATAAATCGAGACTTTTGAAAAGGGTGTGAATTTGTCACTTCTATTATTTTTGCAAGGACATTACTTTATTGGTCATTTAAAAAATATTAGAACCTTTCTCTGAATTTTCTTAGATTGCTGATAACACTGTATATTCCACTGATAAAAGAATTAGCATGGTCCATGTAAAGTATTTTCTAACAATGTCTGAATGAGTTTCACATATACTTTGACATAAAAACAATGTCTGAATGAGTTTCACATATACTTTGACATAAAATGAAGATGGGACGAAAATAAAACTGAGTAAAACAGACTCAAATATCTGCGACTCCAGAATATTATAGTCTTATTTACAAAAGCATAATTACTACTTCTGCTAATAAAGCCTTAGTAATAGACATATTCTGGGTGCTTTTAAAAGTACCAGTAGCGATTCCGTTATATCCATGATTTAACCAAAACACATACACTTCACTAGAAAAATATTTTCAACATCACAGGGATGAAATGCATTAATTAGCTAGTTTTAACACAGACTGAGGAACAGAAATCTCCATTTCAGTCTAAAAGTGTATCTCTTCACAGTATGGCCCCTAAACCCTTCATCTGGTACTGAACTGAATGTGATAGCTTTGTGAGATAAAGTTGTCTTATTGAGTGACAATACTACGTAAGCCGTATGGTACACACTCCAGAACCTGACCCAGGTGTTAACATGCAACTCCAAGGTTAAAGTAAAATTATACTGTTTCAGTTAGAAGCCCTTTATTTCCCCCCATCCCCAAGTGCCTATATGCACTTTTCTAGATCCCATATATACATAGGAGTACCACCAGGAAACATCAAAAATCCATCTTCACAAAAATGTAAAGGGTAAGGCTTTTGCTTTAACATTATCCCCTACATAAATTGTTTTTAAGATTCCCATTATCAAACAGCAGCTACCACTTATTGACCCAGGACTAACTTTTTTAGCCAACTACAGACGGTCCCCGAAATAACAATGGTTCAACTTAATTTTTCCACTTTAAGGTGGTGCAAAAGCAATAAGCGGTCATAACTCTCCTTGTCTTAAGATGGGGCTATGTCCCATGTCCAAATAAACCCCATTGTAAGTGAAATAACAATGGTTCAACTTAATTTTTCCACTTTAAGGTGGTGCAAAAGCAATAAGCGTTCATAACTCTCCTTGTCTTAAGATGGGGCTATGTCCCATGTCCAAATAAACCCCATTGTAAGTCGAGGAGCATCTGTACTTTGCAAGGTAGCTATCAATTTCATGGAAAACTGAAGAAACACAGGTCCTCTCCAATTCAACCAAATAAAGCCCGAAGTCATGATCAGACTCTCAATTAAATCTTTCAATTTGAAAAGGCTGATCACATAGCCACTACCCTCTCATTCACTCCTGAAGAATTTAAGCAAATAAATAAGAACAAACATTTTTCTAAGAAAACCACTTTTATTTTTTAATCATTTTTACTACCAAATACAGAACAAAACTCAAGTGTGGAGGCAGTGTTCACTTGATTTCAACTGGTTATCTGTTAAAAAGGCTTGTGACCCAGTGCAACATTATCTGTGTAGAGAATGTCCACTGAAAGTAAATATCCTTAAGTATGGATTCCCTTCACTGCAGCATCTGAAGTCAGTGGCACTATTTTAAAACCAAAAATTTTTAATTATTTTAGAAAAGTTAATATTTTTGTACTCAGATTACAAGTAAGGGAATAGACTCTGAATGTTAGGTTTACCATGTGAATGAAACTGCCAATATTTCACTTGTTTTTGACTTAAAAAAAACTAGCCATATCACATGGTTCAACCTTTGCTAAAAAAAAAGTTTAAAGAAATACCATTTGCTATCAACTTTGTTTTTAAAAATGCAGTGATTATTAGGACCGTTACTAGAACTTCTTTTACTCACTATAGACAAAATTCTTTTTGATAAAATCTTTAAAAAGTTACCTACTACAAACTGTAAAAATGATGTTGCTTTTCTATATGGCATTTCTATTTTAGAACAGTGTTTAAAAAAAAAAAAATTTTTATACTCAAAACCTGGATAAAAGCTACAATTCCAAGTCTCATTTTCCCTTAGTCCCAGACACACAAACACTACTTGTTTCATAAATGAATAAATATACTATTTAGTATTATACAGTAGATACATATCATTGACAGCTTCTATACTACTCCAGAAAAGGCAAATATTTGTATTTCACTGAAAATATAAATTTACTAGATATAGGTGGGATCATTTATTTATCCTAAAGTCCATTGCTTTATCCAACCCCATTCCCACTCCCAAAACACGAGAAATAAAATCATACTAAGCTAATAAAAAGATTGTTTAGAAAGAAATTAAATCATGTTTGACAATTCTGAAGGCAACTATCACTACAATGATGGATTTCATCTTGTTGCTGTATTTAAACATGGCTAGAAAGGGAAAGAACTTAATTTGTGAAATGAATGAGGTAAATGTCATACATTCAATAGTGTAAATAAATACAAATAGTTTTATAGGAACATGAAACATAAGTTTAAGGGTTTTTATTATCAAAGTCTTGTAAAACAATTTCAGAAACTGTACATCAACATGGCACAGACTGTAGCCTACTTTTGTTTTTACTGCACAAAAGTGAAGCTTGAAACTCCTGTAACTAAGAAAACAGTTGCCTAACTACTTTGCATATAACATGGAATCACTGTGTGCATAAAATTACTACTGCGGTAATAGTAACACAAATTTATTGGTTTTATACAACTTGAGATCAAATAAAAGGTACATTATCAAGTAGATTTGTCTTATTTTAAAAGCATATGAAGGTCAATTTAAAATGCACTACCCCCTTTTTCCAACACTGAGCTTAAAACAAGAGTGGAAAATTGAAAATCAGGACAACAGATAACTTTTTTACAGATGGACTCAGAATAGGCAGATAGTTTTCACTGATGTAAATGTGGAATAAATTATCATTTCAGGAAAAAAAAATTCCCAAATGCCTTACGAAAAAGTATACAACTCTACTTCAAAATATCTTGCTATTTACTCACTGCCAAAGACAGTTTTATTTGAAACCTTGTTTCTGTAATTAAAGCCTAATTAGCCATCAAAAAAAGGTTAGTGCATACATAACCTTTCAAAGTTAAACAAAAGCCACAAAAATTTAGCCACAAGGCTTATAAGATTATCTAATTCAAATGCTCATTTCCAGATGTAACTACAAGAATGTTAATTTGTCATGTCAACAAACAAGACCATAAGTAGATCCATCATGTTGTTGGAGGATTTTAATGACATTTAGGATATTCTTGTCTGCCACAATAACATGCAATCAGTGCATTCCCTACATGGCTCTATTATGGCAAAGAATCAAATTCTAGAAATACTATAAGTGAACTTACTTAATAAAGGAGATCATACAACATAAACAATCCATGCCTGCTGTAGATGCATGCAGCTTTTCATTTTTGTTATGAAGCAGCACCAGAATAGTAAAACTGCTTGGTTACTCAATCAGATTTCACCACAAGAAAAACTGGTTACCCATGTACCATTTTCTAAAAGCTTTTTGATGTAAATAACTAATATCAATACCAGGAGCTTTATAACCATTTATAACTGAGAGCTGTATACATCTAGGTTTGAGATGTCAACAATACAGCATTAAAAAATCACACAAAGGAATGACACTGATGCATGTATACAGGTGGATTCCCACTGAGGCAATATTCAGTCACTCATATCCATGTCTTCTTCATGATGATCATCCCCATTCACTTTGGATTCTCTTAGTGAATCACCAGTTCCCTTTTCCAAAGAACATTCCTTTGTTCTAGGGGAACCTGCTTCTGTTGTTTTCTTCTCCTCTTTTTTCTCTTTCTCGCTGTCATACCCCTGTTCCTCTTCATCATAATCCCGTGTAACCTGCTTTGCCAAGAATAATAATAAAAGTAAACTTCTTCAAAGAAACATCACTTCTTGAAAGTACCAACAACACTCAAACTACCAAAATATATTAGTTTGTAAACATACTTTTACATCTTTATCACTCTCTGATTTTCTTTCCCGGTCCTTTTCCTTATCTTTACTCCTCTTCTTCTTGCTTGTTGATCGTTCTCTTTCATCTCTGCCTCTTTCTTTGTCTTTATCTTTCTTCTTCTCTTTTTTATGTCTAGAATGACAGTAAAATGTGCTCAAAAAAGATGCTTTATAAAAGAACCTTTCAAGACATTTCAATTTCACCTCGAGTAGCAACATTTTTTAACGTGTTAGATGGTGAGCTTGACCGAAGTCCACAAGATATAAAAGGACAGCAAAGATTCAATTTCAAAACACACTAGACTATAAAGGTACAAGCTGTGCACAAGCAATATAGGTGAGAAGACCATAACTTGGTTACAAGTCTAAAATGCCCAATCCTAAGGCATTTATCATATGTCCCAAGCCATAAAGAAAATGTATCAATATATTCTTAAGCACTTTTAATTTCTGAAAAGGAAGAAAAACTGTAGAACAGTTTTAAAAACACAGAACATTTAAAAAAACTAACAACTTCTAAAAAATATACAGGGCAGACCTAAATGATAACATTCTTACCTCCTAGGGGATGGCGAGCGAGACAATTTTCTTTTGGGAGACCTAGGCTTTTTAGGAGATCTTGTTCCACTCCTGCTTCGTCGTCGTCGTCTCTCTCTAGAATAACGAATGTTTAAACTAGGCTTTAAAATACATTATGACTTAAAAAGTGCAGACACATCACAGATGTGTCTACGCTGGAGCTCCACTAGGAACTGCTACAGCATGATTCTAATAATGATTCCTTTACCACCCTCACTGAAATCTCTAGTTTCTACCAATTCTTCTTCAAGGCAAGCAAGATATTAGAAATATTAAGCTTGAGAAAACACTGATTTTAAAAACGTTCTAATGGAAGAGGGAAAAAGTCTGAAGTAAACTATTACTGATTTAAGATTCAAACATCCAGTGGCCAGAACAGGTATCAGATAATTCAATAACTTTGTGATATAGAAGACAATCACTAATAAAATACTCCCCAAATTAACTTTTAAGTCATTAGATTAAAATTCAGAGAACTAAAGTTAGCGAAAAGGTAGAAATTGAATCAACTTCCTATACCCCAGAAAAATCTCACATCACCTTGCTTTGAACTATTATTTTTTTAAGATATACAGCTTTCCCCTCCTTTTTATTATGGTTTTAAAAAAAATTTCTGTTCCCGATTCTTAAAAGTTGTCAGATTTGCAAGATGACTATTACAAAATTTAGGCACAAACAAAGCAGTCAAAAAATAAAACCCTGTGTTTTCAGTTGTCCATTTTCCAAATGATACTTTTTTTTCTATCATCCTTATAGAACTATGACCCCATCCTGGGAACATTACATACAACTTAACATTCATTCATCAAACATTTATTAAGTCTGCCAGGACTTTATAACCTTATACTTTTTGCTACTGTTCTGTGTAACTGATCCTCCAAATTATCTACAGGGAAGAGACATTTTACATTTCTGTGCCCTTCAATAGATTGTAGCACAAATGCAAACATATAGTAGGCATTTAAAATTCATCAGGATAAAATGATCACAAATAAGTACATTAAATAAACAGGTAAAGGATGCCTCCCCAGTTTTTAAGGTAAGAAAAGACATATTGCACTTTCCATATTTTATGCCTTTTTGCCATCTATCCTTAAGGCCTGGTTTATCATTTTCTTCTGTTTTACTTTCTTATAAACTTACTTTTCAAGAACATTTAAAAGATATCCAAAAGAAATCCATACCTTTAGCTATCACCCCAATCCTCCTTGTCTTCCCAGAAATCACTAATCTCCTTTCTGTATGGATTCTGGACATTTCATATAAATAGAATCACACAATACGTGGCCTTTTGTAACTTGCTTTCATTTGGCACAACGTTTCCAAGGTTTATCCATATTGTAGCATGTATCATTCTTATTTATTGCTAAATAATATTCCATTGTATGGATATACAACTTTGTTTATCCTTTTGTTAGTTAATGAACATTTGGGCTGACTTTTTGGCTATTACTTCTTCATATTCTCACCAACACTTATTATGTCTTTTTGATAAATGATAGTCGGTATAAAGTGATACCTCATTGTGACTGTGACTTGCCCCCGCTTCCCCCTTTATGGTGGCTAGCCAGTACTGAGATCCAAATCCTTGACCCTGGTGTTATCAGCACCACACTCTTTAACCAAGTGAGCTAACCGGCCAGTCCTGATTTGCCTATTTTACTTATTTATTTTGATTTGCCTATTTTTAAATTGGGTTATTTGCCTTTCTATTACTGAGTTGTAAGAGTTCTTTATACGTTCTAGATATAAGTCCCTTATCAGATATATAATTTGCAAATATTTTCTAGCATTCTGCGGGTTTTCTTACTTGACAGTACCCTTCGAAACATGGAAGTTTTTAATTTTGGTGATCTCCAATTTATCTTTTTTCTTCTGTTGCTTGTGCTTTTGGTGTTACACATTTAGGAAACCACTGCCAGATTCAAGGTCATGAAGATTTACTTGTTTTTTTCTGATTATAGTTTTAGCTCTTACTTGTAGGTTTTTCATCCATTTTGAATTAATCTTTTTATATGACATGAGCCTCCTAGTGAATTTAAATAAGGTAGATGAATAAAACACTGCAGTAAAACGTGTAAACGAGATCTGAAGAAATGGAATGAAGTATGGCCAGCCCTCATTAATGTATAAATTTCAAGTTAAGCATGAAAAATATATTTTCTATAGTTTACAACACCGTTTCAGTTTTCACTATGATAGTTTAAAGACAGAATTAGTATGAGAATGACACAAAAAAGAACTTACATTGCTTCCCATGAATTTATCAATAACCACTACATGGAAAAGCAAAATGTGGATATGACAAATATAACTCACTATAATGAAATTTAATGTAACAATTCAGTATACTTTAGCTGTTAAAAGTCAACCTTTAAGACAGAAATACTACTATTGAATTCCATGTTATTTCAAATATACTCTATTCTGTAAAATATTAAGTAAAAAGAAAGATAAACTTCAGCTTATTCTTCACAAATTGATTTTAATAAGTTTCAATAATGGCATGGCCTAACTTTTTTCAACACTAAAGTACTTATTTATGTCCTGGAAAGCAGCACTTCACGTTCACAGCCTATTGATAATCTTACAAAGTTTAAAAAGAGGCCAAGAGTTCATAATGCTATCTTACCTGCTTGCACTTCTAGAACGTCTGGCTGTGCTATAGCTTTTTGGTGGTGTTTTGGAACGTTTCTTTTCTTTGTCTTCTTTCTTTTTGTCTCTAGTAAATGAACACAATTTATGAATGCTGAAGACTGAGCTAATGCCGATTTGTATAGTGGTAAAAATCAAAAAAAGTATAACTCTGACAGAAACTGTTTTAGAAATAACAGCCCATGTGGCATATTTGTGGCACAATGACTTCTTTAAAAATCCCATTTTGCTAGTATTTCACAAAACTTCTTTTCAGTAGATTATGTGGTAAGTAAATAATTAAGATGCTGGCCAGTTTCCTGGTATGTTTGTTGGTAAACACTAACAGTTTTAACAATTCTCTCTAGGCTCTTCAACGCTCTTTTTTTACTCTCAGCTGATCACCAGTTTCCCAACCCACTTCTACTATCAGGCCAAAACCCATAATACACTATCAAAATCACTCAATATTCTTCCGAAGCACCCATCCCATATGAATCTATATCATGGACTGGGACAAGCCTCTTATCTTGTTTTGCTGCTACATACTCTGGGCTATTCAGTGCTATTAGAAAAATATCCCAACATAATGGACTCGTATTATAACCATACCTCAACCCAAAATCTTTTTATAGACTTGGATAAATTTATTTTTATTCCCCATGGCATTTTTTCCCAAGGTCACCATTCTCCCCAAGATCCTGAGCAAAGAAAAGGATAATCAATATATGTTTGTTGAATGATAAATTCTATAAACATACACACCTATCCTCAACTATTCTATAATCTTTGGGACCAAAGTATCTCTTCTATTGTTCTAAGCTAGTATTTCTACTACCCTATATTCTCTATTTCATTCCTTCTGCTCTATCCCCTCTCTTCATTCTTTAAAATCTAATTCCTACATTACTACAACAGTCACCTAGTGGGTACCAGTCATGCCTTCCACAAATTGACCCTGCACCCTCTATCAGAAATCTTTCAAAGAACAAACATGAAAACATCAATTCCTTATTAATCACTTTTTAATCCACTCCAGTTACCTCCTGAATCAAGTGCAAACAGTGTAAAAAACAAAGGCTTCCATGATCTGTTGTCTCCTTATACTTTTCTGCCTTTTTTCCTGGTCCTCCTACACCTATATCTTGCTATTTCAAGAACTTATGCTAACTTTGTAAACACCATTTCCTACCTGAAACCATGCCACCCACTTAGTCCAGTCAAATCTATGAGAATTTAAGTAACAGTCATCACTTCTCAATTAAGCCTCTTACAACACTAGCAAGAGGGAACCACATCTACCAAGGACCCTTCCCTTGTAATTATATTCATCACTCTTCTAGAAACCAGAAAGCCCTTGAGGGAAGGAATGCCTAATTCCTCTTTGCATGATAACTATTCCATTAAGTAACCTTGTTTAACTAACTAGATTAACAGATGATTCACTCTACAACACATAACAACCGAAAGCCCCATTACTATGGGTTGAACACACAGGTAGCAGCTCCTCTTCTCCTATCAGTTGAGTTACAAGCTAATAACTAAGAATAAATTTTGTTGGCCCCCAGCTGTTCTTATTATGTGATTTAATCAAGTATATAAATGGATAAAGAATGTAAATATAGGGCTGCTTCTACAAAGCTAAGGTAAATATTTTGAAAGAGACAAAGGACAGTTGCTAAATACAAATTAAGTGCTGTGAAATTATATGTGTCTGACTACTATGAATGACTGGGGGAAAATAAAAATCCATGCACTTTCAAATGCCATTATAAAATGAAAAACAGTGATTTGGTATGTGTTACTCAAGATTAGGTGTACTAATTTGAAATTGCTCTACAAGATAAGACTGGTTATTGAATGTATGCTTAAGTGAAAATAATACCTTAAGCTGGGGGTATTTTTTTTTTTTAATGAATTCTCACTTTAACTCTTTACTGGTTTCAAATCATGGGATAACAGACCCTCTAGCACGGTTCAGTATCTGGCATAATCTTTAATAAATGTTTGCTCAAGTTATTGATAATGTGATATATAAAGATAAATGATTTGTATCCCCATACCAGCCAGCAGCCAAAAAAAGAAAAATGAGGCATGGCTGTCTTCCTTAAATTCTTTGGCATACCACAAAGAATGACTGAAAGACCTAAATCCTTAGCAGTGCTTAAGTGAAGGAGGAAATGTAAGGTAGTAAGACTGCTAAGAAATTTTATTACTACGAAATTTTGCCCAGGCCTTCAACGGTAAGCTCAAGTTTCAGTTTACGAGAGAGCACAAGAAAACAAATGTCAGCATCCTCAAACTCTGAACAGTTTCTTCCCCTGTCTAGCCCTGTATCTCCCTCCACCTCACCCTTTGTTATTACGTAGCACAGTATTTGGGGTCTTAGGAACTCTAAAACTTGTCTTGCCACCCAGTATTGACAGTCTGTTGTACCTGGGTTTTGATGTGCTCCTTGACCTTCTACCTCTCTCTCTGGAATGAGATCTTCTCCGTCTTGGACTTTTGGATCGTCGCCTACTCCTTGACTTAGAATGTGATCGCCTCCTGGATCTGCTTCTTGATCGCCTAATAATGTAAAAGGAAGCCAGTGCACATATATAAATGTAAAAAGACTAGCTGTTTGTGAATATTTCACTTAGTATTCAACAAAAGATTCAGACATACAAACTAACCACCAATTAAGTGGGGATAATTCCTTTCCAGTTCACTTGCTGCCATTATTTATTTAGTCCACACAGTAAACATCTTTAATACCTTAGAAATTAGTAACACCCTTTAACACTTGGAATTTCTTACCTTTTAATGTTTTGCTCAACCTGACCTTCTATGCCCACTGTACCACATCTCCAAGGTTAAAAATGCTATTAGATAATGAAGGAAAATAACAAATACTTGCTTCATCTGCATCCTCTTATACAATTATATAGCATTTTAACATGTAATTTCTTATTTGATTCCTCACTACTGCAGGTTAAACTTATTTACCAGTTATTAGTTATATTATGCTTATTACAATCTCAGCAAATAGGCCTTACAATAAGCCTATCTTGTAGGTACCATTATTATTCCTATTTCAGAAATAGAAACCATTCGTTGTATGGACATCTGCTGTTCTCTAAAATATTTTCCACTTCTTTAATTCACAATTTCAGGAACTCCAAGCTATGCAGACCGTATGTAGATAAATACTGGTCAGTACAAACTTTCTCTTTTACTCTCATTTTTCTCAACACATCACTGTCTCTACATGATACTCTCTTTCCAGTCACATGACAAAAGCATCCCCCGCCCTCCACCCCAGTCCCTCTCCTTCTCTTCCTGGACTTAAGAAGGACATTAGCACACTTAACCATTTAGATGTCACCAATCCTCCTTCCTTCCTTAAAACACTCATTCTCCTCCATTTTAAGAATTAAAAATAAGTTGCAATCCTTTGCTTAGTTTTGATCACTGCACTTTTATTGACATACAGCCCCTTTCTGTGAACATTTCAAACAGTCTAAACTCTCTACCTGCTTTCTTTTCAAGGTACCAGAGGATGGACATTTTAGAAATGGGAAAGCCTTGTGCTTAACTCTCACTTATAAGTTAGGTAACTCAGAGCATTATCTAACCTCTTTGACCCTGTTACTTTAGCAGTCAAAGAAAGATAACAGCACCTGCCTCACAAGATAGTTGTAAAGATTAAATGAAGTTATGTAGAATCCAGCTAAGTGCCTTATACATTAAATAATGACTTTCCTCGTACTGACGTGCTAATATAGCTTCTGTTGCCATAACTCTCTAAAACAATAGCCTCAAAATCCATAAGCAGTGCCATATTGAACTCAATAAACTTTTAATCATCTCTTATTTTCAGCCATATTTGAAACTATTTACTAAACAATTCCATGTAATAACATCTCTACAGCCTAAGAAATATTTTTGTAATGCTTATCTACGTTTCTGTAAGCTATTCTATGAGGACAGGTGAAATATGCCAATCTTATTCAGAACCATACTCTTGAGCAATTACTACAGTGCTTGACCAAAGGTACCAATAATATACTTTGAGTGAAAATAATGAGCCTATCAATGTCAGAATTATCACTTTCATCTTATGAGATTAAAAAATTCTGAAAAGGAAAATTGATGTTATTAAAATTAAGCATTGTTCACCTTCTGAGGATTCTGGCTTTAAAAAAATTTAAGTTAAAAAACATTTTTGATAACCAAGTTACACATTTTTACTACCTTTAATGCATACAGATAAAACACAGATATATCAAATAAATCACAAGAACATTCTTACAGGTTTCTTTCTAAACAAAGAGAATAATAATATAAAATAGCCTTAAAAAAAATCTAATAAGCAGAGGTACCGTTTCAATCTACTTAGGGTCTTAAACAGTCATTTTTCAAAAGGCATGTTTTGTAGAGCCACTTTTATTACACTTACTAGTTTATATGAGCTTTTAAAAATCAGCAAAATAGATATTAGTGATATCATATATCTAATTAAGTCAAAAAGCTTGTTGGAAGTCTTGGTAATTTTACATAATAACAAACTTGGGATATTACAATCCACAATAATTATCAGTTATGATGTGTTACAAGTGTCTGAATTCAGAGAAATGTTTCACTTATTTTTCATTGCTCATAGCAAAGTAATTTATATTAAAATTTGAGAGTCCTAATAAGTACTTAAGAGTATGTAAAGAAAAACACATAGGCATACCTTTTCAAGAGTTCAGGAGAGGGAAACACATATAAACTATGGTAGTCTTGTAAGATACATCCTATTGTAAAGATTAAATTAAATTATCCTGGAAGATAAGAATTGTAAACAATACCAAACACTTCACATCAGAGTAAGCTTTGAGCTGTATATTGAAGAAAGAAAAAGAAATTCCTCAGGTGCAAGTGAAGATGTGGGAAAGAACATCAGGCAGAAAGAATCATGAGTAAAAACACTGAGGCATAAAAAAATGGTATGTTCAGGCAAGTAGTTCTATAACTGTATGGGAGTAATAAATGACAAGTATGGAAAGATAAACCAGACCAAATAATAAAAAAACCCTGAAAGTCATTCTAAGGTTTTATTATCACCTTATTGCCTAATAGGGAGCTTCTCAAGGTTTAATAGAGCTGTGACATAATACAGATTTGGGTTTCTGAAAGACATTTCTAAGAATGACAGGCCAGGAGAAGGTGGGTGACAGGGAACAAAATGGACATACCATATAAGACAACCCTGTAAGAGTTCAAAAAATGACTTAAGACAATGACACTAGAGGTTAGATAATGGTAATGGAAATAGAGAAAAAGCCATCTGAGAGAGAACAAATATGACTAGTTAAATATTTGTTATGCTATGAGTGTGTTTAATAGAGATGAGAGAAAGTCTAGGATTCAAGTATACAATGTTCTTTTGACAATCCTGATACTGAAGAGAAGAAATGATTTTGTGTAACCCTTAATAAAAACTGAGGAGTAACAGAAGTTTTCAGAAAAGGCAGACAACTGATGGATCTTCTGGTTCCAGAAGAGATGGACCCAATGGTGAAGGATGCCAGTGAGTAATGTGTAAGAGTCAGGTGGTGGAGGGATACGTAAGGTGAAGCTGAAACTACCTGAAATAACTGACCACAACTGGAATACCATAGTTCTGAACGCCACCCTTAAAAGGCTCTGACTAGAACTAGCATGCCACCAGGGTAGAATTTAGAAATTAAGTAAAATGAAGAGTGGCTGAAATAGTTGGTGAGAAATAACTCAGAGCAATGGTTTTCACAGTATGGTTTGTGGAACACTGGGTACTCCGAGACCTTCTTATGGGGTCTATAAGGTCAACATTTTCAAAATAATAACATTATTGCTCCTTTTACTGTGTTGACATTTGCACTAATGGTGCAAAGGCAATTGTGGGTAAAGTGTTGGCTTCTTTTCAGCACAAATCAAGGTAGTGGCTATTAAATTGCTTTGCGCTAGTAGTCACCATAACCTTCACTGGCATTTCTGTGCACATCTGCAGTAAAAGATAAAAATAATGCCACTTTCACTAAGGATGGGATTTACTAAGAGACCAGATTTAATAAAATTAATAACTTTTACTGTTTCCTCAAAATCTAGTCCCTTGAGTAATACTTTGTGTGATGAAATGGGAAGTACACATAAATCACTTTTGATGCTTATTAAATTACAATGGCTATGTCAAGAGAGACAACTGTGGGATTGAGCTGTAGGTCGAACTAGATGCCTTTTCCGTAAAACATTATCTTTTAAAGAACCAACATTTGGGGATGGATAGGTTGGGTAAAGGACAATCTTTACCCAATCTTTACCTCTTCCTGGACTTAAGAAGGACATTAGTACACTTAATCATTAGATGTCACCAATCCTCCTTCCTACAAATCATGATTTGTAATAATAATATGCTTATAATAAATATTAAGAAAATAAATCCTGTAAAAAAATAAACAGTGAATACTTTTTAATTTAATAAATTCTACATTATTAAAAACAAAAAAAGAACCAACAAACTACTGTAATTCAGACTTGGATATTTGGCAGACATTTTCTTGAAAAATAAATGAAGTCAATTACTTCAAAGAAAACAAATGAATTTGTTTCCAAAGAAAAAAATCTGAGCTTTTAAGAGAAAATTACATTTTGGGAAACTTGAATCCACTGCTGAAGAAATAATACCAAATATCACTTTTTGATGATATTGTATAACAAATACATGTAAATATTTGGGAATGTGCTTGCTTTTACAGAATCGTGTCTGCAATTTCATACTGTTGGAGAATTCATTGTATCCCTGGGGGTTGCAGCTTTCTGTAAGTTTGCTATGGCTGAACCAAGAAAGAAGGCATATGCAGATGTCTACAGAGATTATGATTCCATGAAAGATTTTGAGGAGATGAGGAAAGCTGGTATCCTTCAGAGTGCAAAGTGATTTTGGAATGCAAAGAATATCTTCGGATTGAGTTTCATAAAGTTTGTAACTGACCTGTGTTCCTGAACTATGAAACGTGAATATGTGGGCTAAGGAATAATTTCTCTTGATAAAGAAATAATTAATAAATAAAAAAAGATGGCAGTTTAAATTTTTAATATAGTCAATGTTGATTGATAATAACCCACATAAACAAAAGCTCAGCTCTTTGGGGTTCTCATCATATATTTCCTATGAGTGTGAAGGGGTTCTAAGACCTGGAGTTTAAGAACCACTCGCCTAGAAAAACCCTTGCATTTCATAATCGGATGTCGCATAGAGAAGAGACCTGACTGATTCTTACCAGGTAAGTAAATGAATGATTAGTATCAATTAGTTTATCGAGTAATACAAAGAACAATCTCAAAAAGAACAGCAAGCTGTCATTTGCAAATATTCATGCATCAGATGGATACTGTGCAGTTACACAGACAACCTTCTAATTTAAAATCTCAGAAATCTTGTGAAAAAGTCTTATTTAAAATTCAAGTCAAAAATTTCAAGTCCAGTGTTCTTTCCAGAGTACTAACTCATTCTGGTGCTCAAGTCCCAATGTTTTCCGACCTAGCACCTCCAGATTTTGGGGTTTTAAAGTATGAATCATCTATTTATACATACTTTTCTCTCTTTATACAATGCATAGCACTCATTTACACATTCTGCTAACAGCAGTGGTTACTGAAACACACTTTAACCAGGAGTTAGTGGGCTAACAACAAATTCAGAAAGATGTGACATATAGAGAATATCTTCGTCTAAGATATAACCAATTAAAAAAAGCAATCTGTAACCTGTGCCTAGAAGATGAGGGAGTCCTCCTTCTCCTAGAATGTGATCTTGATCTTGAATGCCTTCTTTTTTCTTCTTTCTTATCTAGATTTAAAAGATAAAAAATTGGTATTTAGAAATCTTCAAATAGAAAGATTATTCTCTTTCAGCTGTATTCTAGAATTTCTTTAAATATCTTAATTTCCGGCTTTTACATATATGCTTAAATGTTATAAGTGATCATTTTACAATCACAATATTGAAGCTTACTCAAGTGATACAAATTATCTAGGCTTTTTCGGTAGATCCAAATTAGACTTCTAATTCTCAGGTAGCTAAAGGTTCCTTTGACTATTTCACTTGCCATATTTAGCAGTCTGTAAAGTGTTTTCCATAAAGCAATCTATGAAAAAGGTATCTTTCCCATTCTTCAGCTCTTTAATTTATTTCAGAGTTCTAAATGATGGGGTCTCTTTTCCTTTCCTAGGTTCTTTCACAAACATAGCTATAATTCAGCCAGAATAAAGCTTCAATTTTTACTTATGTATTAATATCTTCCCAATCATCCCTTAATTATAAACAAATATATTTAATACACAAGTTTATAATAAATAAATAAAAACAGATTCAATATCTGGCTCCCAAATCCAGAAAGTCATAATTCACTACTTCAGTGACAGAATTAAATTTAGTAAGCCAGCTCTCCTCCTGATGCCTGCCTGTCCCTCCTCTTCCCACAAATTTTCGATTGTGTAAGTGTAGGTAACAGACCTAGAACTAAACTGTTTTACTTTCTAATTTTTAAATAACACGTAAGAATTTCCTTTAACTTAGGACCCAACAAAAGAAATAAAGCCATTGCATTCTTCATACATGAACTATCATCAAAGTGAGACTGAGTTCCTCTATCTGTTTCATTTAGGTGGTTTCATTAATAGGGTTCACTTATTGTAAATGTCACTATCAATAATAAATTCACAAAACCTTGGAAAGAAAACCAGTTCATAGAGAATCCACTTTTAGTCATTCTGGTCTTGAGTTTTCAATGAATACAGAAGCATTTACAGCATGTTGTGTCCTAACTTTTGAGTAACACAGATCCAGCTGTGTATGCTAAACTACTTCTGCCTGCTATGTAACCGTGGCTAATTATTTGACAATTTATTGACTGAATAATATAATACACATTAAGCATTTGGTATCAGTTTACCCAGTATTAAACCTTAAAATTATTTTCTTAATACTGTGCATACTAAAAACTTTCCCATTTATTAAGAAATAAGAATAAAAATGAATAAAACACTAAAAGAATCTTGGGGTCTAATGTCATCCCCTCTCCCCCTCCTATTGTTGAGGCTGACAAATTAGCTGTTAGTCTTTTAATGGGGGAAAAGAAATCCAGGACCACAGATGTAAATATATATGGGCAAGTCAAGGGGTTAGCCACTCAATCTCAAAGAGAATTTGCCAAAAAAAAAGGTATTTGATTTTAAGTAACATAAACAGAAGCACTTTTACTAGGTTCTCTTGATCAAGTAAGAGATGAAAATTAGGCTATCCCAACTTAGACAAACATAAATAATTAAATATAACCAAAAGATCATACCACATATTAAATTATCCTAGGTATTACTGACACTTTGGACCGAATCAATCATTGTTGTGGGGGGCTGTCCTCTTCACTGCAGGATATCTAGCAAAATCCCAGTCCTCTACTCACTAGATGCAGTTGGTACCAGCGTGACAACCAGAAGTGTCTTCAGATATTTTCAAATATGTCTGAGTGGCAATCCACTACATAATCTTTTATCGGAATGTAGAAAATTAAAAAAAAACAACTACAGTACTATTTAACACACTTCCAAACTAGTGGCATAATTATTTTTGACAAGAATCATATAGTTTAATATGCAAAAAAGTTGCATCAATATATTTTACCTGGTTCTATAGCAGCAGAAATTAGGGACTGTGCTTCTCGTACTCTTTTCATAGCTTCCTCTATTTCTTTACTAGAGGTATCTGATTTCAGACTTGGTGAAACAAGGCCAGCAGCTACATGATTCAACCTGAAACAGAACCAAGAATTGAGATCTAAAGTACTTTGAAATGTACACCAGCATTTCAAATAAATATATAAATGCTTCATATAAGATCATTTTAGTAAAATACTCCTTCCAAAAAAGGGGAAGAACTCCATGATAATATCATTCTGAATATTTACAATGGATATCTACATTTTAATGATTTAGAGATTATCGGCAATAAGAATAATAGATGCTCCACAGCTTGCTATGGGGTTACATCCTGATAGACCCATTGTAAGTTGAAAATATACTAAGTTGAAAATGCAGTACAGGTAAATCACTCAAACATCACAGATTAGCCTAATGTACATTAAATGTGCTCAGAACACTTTCATTGGGCAAGATCATCTAACACAAAGGCTATTTCATATGTGTTGAATATCTCATGTAATTTATCAAATACTGTAAGTGAAAAACAGAATAGTGTATTGAGTACAGCTCATACAGGTTCTACTGAAAGCATATTGCTTTTGCATCATCATAAAGTCAAAAAAATCTTAAATAGAACCACTGTAAGTCAGAGACCATGTAGACCTATTTAAATTTGCTGAAAATCCATTAACTTTCCATAAACAAACACATTTTGAGAAATGGTAGTACAAGGGAATATGCTAATGCTCAAAACTTAATCAAACTTTCCTTCATATGATTTAAGAACTTTCTATAACAGAATAATTTTGTTGGGGAAGAGCGTTACCTTTTAGTTTGCAGATGGGGAGAAACTGAGGCAGAGGCCAATGGCCCACCAAAGTTACACATGAAATCCTGACTGGAAAGGCTAAAGATGCCCCTTAAGGGTTTACACATGTAAGAAAAAATTATAAACACCAAATTTAGTATAGTAGTTATTTGTGGGAAAAGCGGGAAATTGTAATCAAGAAAGAGTACATAGGAAGCTTCAAATGTATTGGTGATATCTGATTTTATAACCTGGGTGCTTGGATTTTAGCTCTGGTAATTTTTAAGAAAAAATGTCACTAACTACTAAAGCCAAATGATTTTGTTCTCCCACCCCCACGCTCACCAACTTACTGATACTGACTTTTCTCAAGCTAAAAGAAAAAGTCATAAAGTTCAAAAAATTACCAATTTAAAAAAATCTCATGAATTTGTCACATATCAAGTAGGAAACAATTTCAATTATAGCATAAAGAATACTTATCAAAGCACCTAAAAGATGATGTTGGCTACTAATTACACAACATGTAATACTTTGTTCTGGGATAATGTTTCCCTCAGCTCTGCTTCTCTTCTTTAATTATGCTTAGGGCTCATCCTCTGATCTTCAAACTAAGTTCTCCCCTTACAAATAAGTTCCCATAGCACCTCTGTACGTTCTCCCGTTGACTGTACATTACTATATTTAGATGTTTAATACCTTTCCTCCTGATTGGAGCATGTATCTTTTTAAATGAATCAACTGAAGATAACATTTAGCTCTCTTGCTATCATCCTGTTATAAACCATTCACAAATTACACTTAAACAAAATCCTTTATATATGAGTTTAGTTCTGGATTTTTCTCCTTGTTTCTCAGAAACAATATACATTGCTTGCTTCGAGAACAGATAACTTTCTTTTTAGCTATCAAAAAATAACTGTTCTCTTAGACATTCACATATCATATCAATGATGGAAACAAAGAAAAAACCCTTACTTGGGATCAACAGTACTCATAAGCTTCAGCAACTGATCTGCGGCAAGAGACTGCAAAAACAACATATAAAAACAATGAGAATACATAAAACAAATGATTGCTATTTTATTTTCTCATGTTGAAATGTCCTGGGACAATCTGCCAAACCTACATAAACAAACATGCTCTAGGTACAATACTGAATAGAAATATTGCAACCTACATGTCATAGTAAAGTTTTTAGCAGCCTCTTTAAAAAAAAAAAAAGAAACAGGTGACATTTGGTGGCCACAGGATTGTACAGAGCAGCTGTAGCAAGTTATCTGAAGATAAGGCTGAACAGTCTAGATTTTACAGAATAATTTATCTCTTGCTTACTTTGAGACTTTCTGAGGGAAAATAACATTTTAAAGAAACATGTAAAATATAACTCAAAACTGTTTAGCCAGTATAACATCAAAACATCTACATCTTAGGAAAAAAGTTTAGCCATATTACAATAAAAGAAAACAAAAATTTCCATGATAGAAAAACAAATTATGACCCCATGCTCTCATCCTTTTATGACTATTTACTAATCCCATGACATACTGATGATGAACACATTAAGTGGCTAATGATTCAGTGATCATTTATATCTCTTTTTAAAAGGTTACATAAGAAAAAATTTTTAGTACACCATAGTAGTTAACTCTTGCTCTAACAGTTAATGCAAAAAATTCTCTATAAAAATAGGTTCCAAAGTTGAATGGTAATAAATTGTACCTGAGAGTTCAAGTTTGCTCCAGGAAGCCCAAGTGCAGCAAGGGCAGGATCAAGAGTAGGAGCTCCCAAAGCAGCCAATGGAACAGCACCAATCTGTGAAATTTCAAATTTTGTTTATTTAAAAGTTCATTTCTGTTCCTTATACCAGGGGTCAAGCTTTTTTTCTGTAAAGGGTCAGAAAGTAACTAGTTTAAGTTTGCAGGCCATGTGGTCTCCATTGCAACTACTCATCTCTACACAAATCTACACAATCAATCATCCATTGCTGCTTGAAAGCTGCTATACACAACATATAAACAAATAAGCATGGCTGTGTACCAAGAGAAATGTAAAATAGGGGTCTGGCCCAAAGGCTGTAGTTTGCCAACCCTTGCTCTATATGACGGCTCCATTTTTTCACTTATTACAGAGCATTTCCTTTCTAAAATCAGGATTTAGAGAAAAATACAGAATATTTTAATACAGTCATGTACCGCATACAACAGTGAACAGTCCTATGACGGTGATCAGAGCAACAGGCTATACCATATAGACCTGGTGTGTAGCAGGCTATACCATGTAGGTTTGTGTAAGTACATTTCTTATGTTTGCACAATGATGAAATCACCTAACAACACATCTCTCAGAACATATCCCCATATTAAGTGACACATGACTATATATTCTAGTGCCAATTATAAATATTTATTGCTGCTAGTTCCAAATCTACCATTTTTTGCCCTGCTTTGTGATTACTGGAGGCAGAACCCTTTTTATAAAGCATCTCTTCTTTGACAGCTGCCATGATGCTAAGCTTTATCTGTAGAGTGCTGGAAGGACACTGACTAAGGAAGTGGCTTCTCTTCCTGGTTCCTGTGACTCCTTACTGATTGTTCCTGCAGTGCCACATGGGACACCCAGTGGCCTGCACTTCTCAGTGAGTTTTAGTACCATTTCCTTAGACAGCTTTCCAGCAAGTTCTGTGGGCATCCAAGGATAACTTATCTCTTATCCATCTTTTCAAAGAAGGCCTAAATCTCAGCACAGACAAGAAGAGGAGTTCCCTGATCTAAATGTATTTCCTGTGTTCTTTCTGCCTCAGCCTTAGAGGTAAGGTTGTTTCTCATAAATGTGATTCCTGTATGCATTAGAGTTCCCCTAGTAATCTCCTCTTACTAGTTAATATTCCTTATTTAAATGTTCCTTGTTCTAATTACTGTGTGGCTCTGTCTCGTCTGACACAATTCTGATTAATCCATGATTTAACAGAAACAACCCATGTAAAATGCTATGGCACGCATTAGAGTTCCCCTAGTAATCTCCTCTTACTAGTTAATATTCCTTATTTAAATGTTCCTTGTTCTAATTACTGTGTGGCTCTGTCTCATCTGACACAATTCTGATTAATCCATGATTTAACAGAAACAACCCATGTAAAATGCTATGGCATTAGAATCAGTCTGACCTTTCTCCACAAGCACTATGCTAAAAGTTCCTCTACTTTCAATTAATATTTAGTGAACACAAAGTACCAAACTTTCTGTAATTTAACTGTTTACTGGGTATAGGTAAATTGCTGTCAATACCACTTCAAACTGCTGTCTAATAGTTATTACATAATTTTATACGTTAAAGGAATCCAGATATTACCCACACCCTCATTTTATAGGTAAAGAACTAGAAGTGGTTAAGTGATAATCAAAGTCATACCCAAATGCCTGAGAACTCCTGATCTTTCCATACTGTAAACTACAGGCAGAATGATGCAACAGAAAGAAGGCTTCTATAAATTTCTAGTGAGGCTCATTATTCACTATTACCTATGAAACTACTGACCAGTTACAATCTCTCTGAGTAGTTAGAATACATGGTATTCAAAGTGCCTATTAGTTTTAAAATGATATGCTTTTTATAGCATTATCAATACTAGACATTAACCAACTTTACTTCATCTTCCCCATATCAAACAGCAGCCCCACTAAGAATCTATCTTTATTTTCAAACCACCCACTTAAACCCCAAATTAACAGCAAAAGAGCAAAGGGGGGGAAAAAAAATAAGAAAAGGAGGGTTCACTTAAGAAGTTTGAACTTGGGCTTTATTTTCTTTCCTGGTCCAAATGAGTATGTTTTTAACAGCATGTTCAGAGCTGTTATGACTTTTTTATAATTACTTATGGGTTATTTTGAGAGCCAACGGCAAAACTGATATAACAGGTATTTTATGATTTTCATAATATTTTTAAAGTGTAAACTTCTGGGAGATTCTCTGTACTACTTATAATTATAATTTAGTCTCTTCCAATACTATTCACACATGACTTATCACCCTATGAACTAGAATCTCAACAGCACTTAAAAAGCTCAAATATGTTTAGTTTTATTCACAATCCTGTGTTCCTTTCCATCCTTTAAGAACTCAATAGTACCTGGGTAAGTGGGTTGGGAGTAGGCAGGAGTCCACCACCAGGCAGAAGACCTGCCACTGCATTAGCTGGTGCCAACAGAGACAAAGCCTTAGTCTCATCAGGAATAACTCCTGCAGAGAAACATACTTGCATTAGAATACATTCTTTTCTAAGACAGAAAACACACAAAAACACCCAGAAAATGTCTCCCTGATACACCACCTGAGTTTGTTGAAAGTACTTATGTTCGCTAAAATATAAAGCTTGATTTCTATGATTATTTATCATTAATTTTATGTCAGAAAGAAACTTCAATGTGTGAAAATTTGTTTCCTTTTTCTCTACAAATGGTTAAGTTTCTAGAGTAAAAAAAAAATAGCACAATACACACTACTTTTTTGTTAACACTGCCAAGATTTCATCACCTGTACTCGATTTTTAAGTCATGAACCAAACGTAAGCAAGCACAGTCGGTTCTCCAGGGGTGTGCTCTCAACTTTCAAAAGCTGTTTTATGAACAACGACTCGTGTCGGCTGCTTCACTATAAAGCACACAGAAAAATCAAGATACACAAGACAAAAAAAGTTTGATTTAGGGGTTAATAATATGGTACAGTTACTATGATTTTCTCTTACACCTACCATATAAATTTTGTAAAAATTAAGAGAAGAAAAGTATGTAAAGGAAATATTCTGTTGAAATCAAGTGTAGGGCTTTTGCTGACTCATGAAAATGAATATGTGTTTCTGAATACACACGGGATGTGTGTGGGAGTGAGAAAGAGAGAATAGGTAAAACAACATGGCACATTCCTTACCTGTACAGTAAAATGCTTTATGTTCCAACATGTGCCATGGTAACCATACCAAAAAATGCTGCTATATAGTGTCAGTTCAAAAGCTAACTTAGCCAAACTCCTTAAGCCAGAAATGACATGTATGTCTGTTTTTAAAGCCTAATCTGTGTATTCAGATAAAATCTAAGGGTCCTAAGACAAATATTTATGTAGACAGTATAAATTCTATCCAACAGCAAAAGCCCTATACAGATGGATTAATCTGTTAATGTGCCCAAGCCCCCAAAATGAGAGTTCAATAATACAATTAAACTACATATTTGCAAATACCAGTCGTATTTCTGTAATACATATTAAGAAACTGCATCTCATCATAAAACATACAATATGTACAGGGCACTTAAGAGAAACTGGATAAGCTGCAGAAGAAAACTGTTGGGTGGTATTTTCAGCAGGGCCTGGTATATAGTTCAGGCTGAACCAGGGAAAAGAACTGTAAAACACAACAACAAAAAAGAAAAACCACTGTTAAATAAAGGTAATGGTTCCTTCCACCTATACTGAGAAGTGCCGATAATACAAACAAATGTATACTACACAGCACTGTTATCTTGCTTGTGTCAGAGCTGTCATCAATTTAGATACCAAGAATTATGGAGGGAAGGGGGGAAAAGATCATTTAGATATAGGGCATTAATGCATCACTATTAACAAACCTACAAAGATTATGGGGTAATTTTGCATGCAAAATTATGTTTCAAGAGGATATCTTAAGTCAACATCTTACTCAAATTAGTGCATTTGCAACATTTCTGGCAAACTAAAATCCTCTTGAATTTATTGTGAGACACCTGATAGAAGATCTGCATCCATTAAAAAAAAAGTCATGCATCTGATCCTTGGATTAAAAAAAGACTATTTAAAAATAAAACTACAATTTAAAAATAGCAATGAGGCCCCTCACCAGTTAATTTTCATGCGTCAAGAGTATTTTTTTTACTGCTGCTTTGATAGAACCATGAAATACTGCATGAATGTGTAGAAATGAAAGAAAAAGAAACAGACAAAAGAAACAAACATTAACCAAGGAGCCTAAATAATCCCCAAATCCATTACTATTACGAGTTCCTTCCAAATCCAGCTATCTCGGTTTTACCAATTAAGACTATTCCTTACCGTAGACTTTTTACCTATTGTACTAAAACAATGACCAAGAGACAACACCAAAGTGTAAGAGCTAAGTCCAGAATGAATGGTGACAAAAGGATTGAACATATCAAGTTATTTAGTTGAGCTAACATTAATACAGCATATCATACCAGGAATTAGATACACCAAAAATAGATTTCTGAACTTAATATTTCTATAATTCCACATATACTCCTAAATGACTTACTTTCAAAAACGGGTCTAGAAAAATTACTACGGTCTATAAATACTTATGAAAGTCAGTTATATGATATACTGTATTATGCTCAGGGCTTGGAAACTGTAATACTTAGCTAATACGAATTCTTCAAATTTAAAGATTAACTAAAATGTTTTGCACATTATTCACACGATTTGACCCTTGTTCCAAGACCTATCATCTATATTTTACTCAACCTGAATTTGAATTCTGTAAATTTTCTACTGGTGGTAAGTCTTATCCTACAATAGGCACACTGACATAAAAGAAATTGCTTAACCAAAACACATTAACTCAAAAGTTTCTCTATCTGAAAAACTTAAAACTGAACTCACACACTTTAATATCATGAAGATATCTGTACTGTTATTATATAGCATTTCTTAACCCATCTATGAATTTAATTTATTTAGAAAACCAGAGGCAATTTCTCTAAGTTTTAAGGACTAGACATTTCACAACTTTTACAAACTATGGTGTCATGTTCACATTTGTATTCAAAGATTTAAGATAGCATCTAAAACCAACAATATCAAGATTCTGCTTCCACTGACCGGTTTATTGAGAAAAGGGGAAAGCACTTAAATCCTGGTCAGCATAGTTATTAAATTATCAACGTAAAATCCAGTAATTTTATATTTCAGTATTTTTTTAAATCAAAATTTACAGTTACCAAAAGCAAATCAAGTAGCAGTACATTGGGAACAAACTAAAATATGCCTTAGAAAATTGTACAAAATGGCATTAATAATAGTGCTGTCTCGTCACAGTGGCTTTTTTAGATCCAAAAAACCTGCATTTTTTTTCTGTCAAATTACTTTAACAGCCTAAAATGTAAAAAGAGAGAAAATGTAGTTAACAAATGGTTACACCAGGAAAACACTTGGGGGACTTGAGTGCTTGCTGGCCTTTAGTTAATGTCTAGAATCCCCTGTAGCTGCAGAGGACCCACTGTTTTTCAGTCATCTGGAAGGGTTTTGCATTTGCCTTCTCCACTACAAAAATCACACACACAAATAACAGAGAGAAGAATTTATTATTTAGAGATATTCTAGAAAATATAGCAAGAATGAACAAGAAAATCTGGCATAAAAACTAAACACCCAGTGCCCATCTGGCACCTAAGCTACAGGAAATACTGAACTTTCAAAATCTAAAATCATTGCAACCCTTGGTATACTGGAATTCAACGTGGGCTTTTTTTCAGGTTTTCAGTGAGAAAAAGCATTAAGGAAATAAAACTAACCTAGCCATTTATTCAAAACAAATTTAACATCATGCATTTATTGGAAGGTTTCTGTGTTAAGTGTACACGGAGTGAACCATTCACTTTCAGGACTTTTTCATAAAACTCACCATTAAATTAACCAGTAGATGTATCTCAGGGAGTTACAATTAGGGACATGGTTTTAATAAACTTAAAAATGTTTTAAAAGAAAGCAAAAGGTTAAATATCTTACAAAAACAGACCTGATTTCTAATTTTTAGAATTAAAAATTCTGCAAGTAAAAATTATGGACTGCAGTATAGCAAGGGTTTCAAAATGTTAATAGCTTAGATTTTAACATGCTACTAATGCTGACTCTACAACTATACTGAGGTAGATGGTCATCTTAGGATGCCCACATAGGTAGTTAATTAAGCAAAGTACAAACCTTCTGCATATGGTACGACTATCAAAGCTCTGTCAACGAATACAGTGTTTGTCAGATGCTGTGCCACAACTGCTGAGTCTGGATCATGGAACTTAACAAAGCAGACCCGAGATGAGACTGGTAAAGGTGAATCACTGAAAAATACACAAATAATATAAAAGAGAGAAAAAGTCAGCTAAAACACAAACCAGCACTTGCACTCCAAAAGTAAAATAGGTAGATAAAAATAATTGCATATATATTTAGTTAACTAGTTCAAAAGAAAATTTTTCAAATAGTGTACTTCCCACTAAATGAATGTAGCAAATTGCAGTGTAGATAAAAACCTATACAAACTATTTAAATTTACAGTGTTATCAGATTAAAAACAGTGTGAAACTGAAGTCTCAGAGTTTAAGGAGACCACAAAATTGTCAACATTTCTTCCATAATACCAACACCAGCTATTTTAAATACAGGTAACAAATAATTAGTTTTGGCTTTGAAACTTTTCATTATGGTTAATTTCTCAGACTAAAAAAGATGAAGAATTTTGCACTTCAGGGACAAAAGAACATCACAAGAAAGTATGTCTATTTGATAAAGAGTGTTCTTGACTTGCATAATAAACTGGTTCTATGCCCTGCGCTCTTTCACCTACACCATTATAAGAACTCCTAAGCACTGTAAATAATTAAGGCTTTCTGGCTTGGAGCACTTTAGAAAAAAGAAAAATTTTAAGCACATATGTGTATAGTATCTCATCACACAAGTGCTATTATGCATAATTTCAATAAGCAAAAGAACCACTTCTCTCGGCAAATTGCCTCCTTTGGTAAAATAAAAACAAATGCTAAAGTATAAGCTATGGCAGTATGTAGTGGATTGAATTATGTCCCCCCCAAACTCACTGAAGCGTTAATTGTGTCCCCCAAGTTTTATGTATTAGAAACTTAGCGCCCCACTGTGACTGTTAAGAGGGTGGGAAATCCTGTTATGGTAAGTGAAAGGTGGAGCCTTGAAGAAGTGATTGGATCGTAGGACCGTGCAGTAATGAATGGATTAATAATGGTGGCCAGGGACATGGTTTTGAGGGTTTTTAAAAGAGACTGAATGAGGAGGTTACTGTCTCTCCTCTGCCATTTTCACAATGTGATACCCTGTCATCACTGTCACCATCACTAAAGTCTTCACCAAATGTGTTCCCTGGACTTTGGACTACCCACCCTCAGAAACTACTGTAAGCGATAAATTGTTTTCTTTATAAATCACCCAGTTCTGTGTATTTTGTTATAAGCAAGAGAAACAGACTAATACACAGTATAAGTAAGATAAATACACAGGGAATATTTGCTTAAAAATATTTTTACATTTATATATAATACATATATTATACACATATAAAGATAGTTCAAATTTCTGCCATGAAACACTCTGTAAAAGGAAAAGATTAAAGAAAGGCAGGGGTCGCTTTCCGACCCCGTACTGAAAGTTACTTAAAAAACGAATGCCCTAAGGCAGTAGTAATCACATCATCCCTGGTTACACATGAGAATCATCTGTGGGGGGAAAATATACAGGCTTTCCAATCCACATCAATTAAATCAAGATCTCTGACAGACGAAGTACTGAGTTCGAACCTTCTCCTCCTCTAATTCTCCCTGACAATTAATATGCACCCCAAATAGAGAACCACCTCTTTATTATAACAAGCCAATTACATCTCAAGACTCACTAGTAAAAAGGGAAGTTCTGTAATATATTTTAATGGTATTAGGATAGGGCTTCACTGTTAACTTTTCTAACAAATGAGACATGCTCATGTGTACGTAAAAATGTAGTTACATCAGATTTGGTTACACTAGGCATTTCAGATACATAGTCATTGTTGAAAAGAAAAAATTTTCTCTTAATTTGGGCATTAACAACAACAAAAATTTTTTTAATCATAACTTGAAGACTAACACCAGGGTATATATGGCCCGAGAACTGAAACTCGTTAGAAATTTTAATACAAATTTCCTTAAAGGTATCTCCTGTACTAAGCACAAACCCTAATCCAGGCTCCAAGAAAAACTGACAATATATCCACAGGAATTTAAGCCACCTTCTTAAGGAATTTTACCATGTAACATTGTGATTTTGAAAGGATACAATGAGATTTTTTTTTAAATGTAAAGCACTACTAACAATGTTGTAACCAGAGCAATGAAAAGAATGCCGTAGCCATTCTAGTAATAAACACACAGAACTTTGTACTTTTTTGACATCCGTGTTTTAAAAACTAAATTAAAAAGCTCTTTTTAAGCATCTTATGTTCTCAAAACCTAACACAATGCCTTGGGAAATAGCAGGTACTTGTGTTTCTTAGAAAGTAATCTCTATTTCTTTAACAATGTCTACTGATCAAATATAAGCTTCTTAAAGAATATAAATAGAATGAACAGTTCCTTAGAAAAAAAAAATCAGCACCACCCACAGGCTCACAATATATTTTCATGTACTTGGCAATCTTAAAAATGATTCATTTTTCCTACCCACTAATGTCATAGGAATGCTACAATTTGCAAGTACCACTTATAAATATGTGAACGTCTTTATTCCCTACCTTTAAGAATATAGATGAGGCAGGGAGAACTAAGGAGAAAGATAGAGAAAAGTGAATTCTGTAGGAGGTTTTTGCCCTCTACCTAGGAGTGGTGGTATAGTTTCCAGTGGTTCTTAAACTGTCTTCCAAGGATTGTTTCAGAATCTTCTAGGATGCACAAAGAAAAATCAGATTTCTGTTGTTCATTTAAAGCCCAATGGATCAGAGAACCTTTTTTACAGGAGGGCCCTCTTTCTTAACAAATCTCCAGTTGATATTCATGCCCATTAAGGTATGAGAATCTCTGGTTTAGGCCAGTCTTACAATTCCCACCTTAATACTTTCCTAACCATTCATGCAAAGAATTTTGAGCTCATAAATATAAGCCCCCAAAGGTGGCGGGTATATGAGAAAGGCCACAATCACCTTAAAGCTTGACTGTGTTGACCTCACACATCTTCTCCCTCATTACATAAACACACAGTAAAATGTTGCATTTATTAAAACAATTTTTTCTTTAAAGATGAACTAAATTCTTTCCCTTACCTAACTACACCAAGTTTTGTACATGAATATGACCATTAAAGTATATGACCATTTTTGGACATATAAAAGTTACCAATGAATTTAAATTTACTGACAGTGTTAAAGTAGCTTTCAGTAACTTTGACATGCTTCACTGGGATCACTACTTGATGTGCATTCCAGTTGTAATCTCCACTATGAAATCCTGCTAAACCCAATCATTTGAAAATGTACTAAGTATAAAGAATAATAGAACTCAAACTGCTTAGCTAAATTAACAAACTCCTGATCAAGTGGTAAAGGAGAGTCACATCACTGGGGTTCAATCACTCATTCTGACACTGGTAGTGTGACTTGGGCATACAAAACCACCTATGTGAATTTCAGCTCACTCATTTGTAAAACGTTTCAAAAACATTCTTCCATTGCGATTTTAAGAAATGAGTACAATAAATTTGGAAAGAATCTCACAACAGACAATGTTGAATTTCCAATATTCATTTTAGGAACAAAATAACATTAGAAAATAATAAACAAACAAACAAAGAAACAAATAAAAGAGAGAGTAAGTGTGGGGGATACTGATAGATGCTCTCCAGTAGCTGCAGGGCTGTCATACTGAAGAGAGAGTTAGAACATTATCTATTGCAAAGACAGAATTTTTAGTTTTTGTGGGAAATTATAGGCCAGTAGTTTTTGGCTTATAAGAACCAAGAAACAGATGGATTCAATCATAAAACATTTCAGGAAACCTTACTGAACAGGTTGTCACTGAAATGTTTGGCATAATGTCACAGATTTTCCCCCCAAATAGGAATTTAGAGTTTCAGTAGGTGTGGGGGGGACTCAGTCATACTCCTTTATGTGCTTTAAAATTACCTTTTAGGTGATATTAATGAATTCAAGAACCTCATATTCTACAAGAAGGAGAAAGTTAAACTTAATCCTGTCATTGGTAACAGATGCTACAGAGAGATACTAAGTAGTACTAAGTAGGAGAAGACAGGGAGCAGGGGTGCCATATTTTACAAAGGATGGTCAGGGAAAGCTTCTCTAAAGTGACATTTGAGGAACAAGAGAAAGTAAGCACGTCATGGACCTATGGGGGGGCGGGGGGGAAGAGTTCCAGGTGAATATGAATGCCTTCTTGAGGGAAATTAAAAACATACACACACACAAAATTGTTACTAAAAATCAGGTGGCAAACGTGTTCACAATAGACAGAATTTTACGTAATCTGGGCCATTCAATCTTTTCTATGAGTAGGAGAGTAAATGCGTTTGGAATGCTGAACCTTTTGGACCACTGGGAGTCCACAGCACATTATCCCTGGCAAGTTACCACTGAAAACTCTAGTGAGTTTACAGAAACTGTCAAGAAAGCATTCCCAATTTGCAGGTCAGACTGCTACTGAGACTTTAGTTCAAAACAACAACAAAAAATCCTTAAATAAATAAAAGTAGCCATCTGCAGCACTATTGAAATCTAGAATGCCACTAGCGGTAATATAACATTCACTACATTGTTAACCTTGTAATTTTCAAAAGACAAAATGATTTCTTTGTGGGAACATAAAAGAAGGAGCCAAAGATCACAAATGTGTCAATCTACATCTCCTCCCAATACAGGCAAGAGTCCTGTTAATACACAGTACCCCAGATCTCACTACATTGTTAACCTTGTAATTTTCAAAAGACAAAATGATTTCTTTGTGGGAACATAAAAGAAGGAGCCAAAGATCACAAATTTGTCAATCTACATCTCCTCCCAATACAGGCAAGAGTCCTGTTAATACACAGTACCCCAGATCAAGTAGCTGAACAACTGTAGAGTGTACATCAGCTATGGGCTGTGATGGATCTATTCATTTGACTACAAAACAAAAAGCCAGACTCTAGTCCATCATGACTTCCTCTAAGATACTTTTCATGCAGTAGGTAAAAGATGAACCAGTAAAATGCCTATACCTCTTTATCTTTTTACAAATGCATCATTAAAGAGAGTATCCTCAGAGAATAAACAAAGCATTTTAAAGTCAGCAACTGCAATAAAATTCCTAACTTATGGGACTGGACAGAATTATATCATAAATAAATCAAGTACATCAAACACCCCAGTAATAAAATGATCACAATCATCAAATGTATCTCTCTCTGCCATTTTACTAAAAACTAACCAAATGGTTAGTTGTGAAAAAACTGAGTACCTGTAACAGCAAAACATCTATTTCTATATGTTCATATCATGAAAGCTATTTGTCCTTCATTACCAAAGTCAGTCAAGTTTCTGTTCAAAATAACTACAATAAAAACATACAAGTGTTTGTTAAAGCAACTCCAAAAATCATGCAAATTGCTACTGAATCTCTCTTCACATGTATAAGTACTTCCAAACGTTTATGGAAAGATTCGTGTTATCTTTTAATTCTATTTTCAGTACTCATATTTCCATAAAAATTAAAAACAACCTACCAATTTGAAAACACTAACGACGGTAGTGTTGCTCATGGCGCTGCTCGAGTTCTCGCTCCTGCTTTAACACATCAAACACACAACAAACAGTGAAAGGGAGGGGGAAGAGGAACCGGTTCGCGGGAGAGGAAAGAGGAGGGTATCCGATGCCACAACCACTGCTGCCGCCGCCGCCGTTTCTCCGCCCCGCCGTACACCGCAGGGAGGGGAAGAGAGCGCGCGGGTTCGAGACCGCGAGAAAACAAACAGCCGCCCCCACCGCGCCTCCAACCTCCTCCCTCGCGGGCCCGAGCTCCCCACAATGCCTTGCGGCGCACGGGCGCGTCACCGTCGGCTCCGCCCTGCTCAGGCCCGGCAGGCCTCGCCCACAGCCAGAGAAACGCGAGGCGTCATCGCCCTTAGCTCCGTCCTGGTTTTTGTTTAGCATTTTTTTTTTTTTTTCTTTTAGAAGAGAGAACTGGAAAGTATTAACATTTTTTAAAAAAGCAATTGTTCATTCCCCTGCAAAATATTGCATACTTTAACAAGTATTTTTATTAGTGCCCACGATATTTATATCTTTGTACACTGAGAATCATCTAAGGACTGTCCAGTTACTTATATTTCCATCCTAGTTAAGATTTTCCTCTCCATCACTATAAAATTTCCTGAAATCTTTACTGTACATAAATTTTACTAACATTAAATTTGTAACCAATTTGCTCTGTCACTAAAACCTTCGGAACAGATGTATTATGTTACACTTACTAGTGCTTCAAGTTAAATTAATTTAATAGCTAAATTTTTAAAAGCGCATTTTACAGTAGTTATGTATGCATATATTCAAGTATATGATCTGCAATTTCTAGAGAAAAACATTTCACATGCATATGATTCTTGCTTAAAATAATGTTGAAGCTTTTGCCTTAGTTTTCGATCTCATCTGAACTATTTTCTCAACTGCATACACTGTTATCCAGTGACCTGCAACTCCCCAAACATGACAAAAATCTCATTTCTCTGTGTCTTTATACAAGTTATTAATGACCTCCCTAATTTTATCTGTCATACTCCCCCATTGCTACAACTTCTGCAAGGAGAGTTAGGGCTTCCTCTCCTCTGCTCATTAACAGGATATATGTATTATTATAGATATTATTGTCATGTATTCTCCCAAAGCTGCACGTTTTCTGGGTCAGTCCAGAACCTAGTACAATTTCTGTCACAAAGTCAGTGTCCAATAAATGTGCTGAACACAGCACAAATATGCCTTAATGGTGTCATTTATTCTAAGACAATTTACTAATTTACTTGATCCTGAATATTTCTGGAAGCTAAAACCTGAGGCCTTACAGAATATCTACATTAGTGAATACCTCTTGGCATAATGCAGTCAAGAGTGCAATTTGTGAGAGTAGAGCACAAGGTTATTGAGATTTGGATGTAGAGCCAACTGGCTAGCTTTACTTACTAGGTAAGAGACTCACTCACTAGTTCTCATACAGAAAAGGGGTGGGTAGATAATGTGAGCCTCAGCAAAATGACAAATTAATTGCACGTCACTCAAAAATGTGTATCCGTGCATGTAAAGAATGCCAGGTAGTTTATTTTCTCATTTTGAATCAGACATATGTAACTGCCAATTACAGATTATTAACAGTTCAACACTTTGAGTGCCAAGCATGCTACAATGTCCAATAATAAAAGGACAACTAACACAAGGGCAGGGTTCATGTAAATGTTAACATGTATTTATTCTCTGTGGTGAGTACACAGAAATCTTTTATTTATTCTATACTTTTTTACATGTTTGACATATTTCATAATTAAAATTACAAATTCAAGCCAAAGAATAAGATACTTCTGTGGTAAGATAAAATCCTATAAACCATCAGAAGCCAATGTATGTATAATAACTTACTGAATATACAAATAGATGGTGCTTGATATGGAGAAACAGAGTGGCAAAAAAAAAGAATTTTAAAATATTTTCAAATCATCTAGGAGCTACAAAAAAACCAAAAAACCCAAACAAACAAACACATAACTGAACTTAAAGCCAGAAAACCCGCTTAAAATATGAGCCCTGTCATTAAGCATGTGATTTGAAGACTTTACTTCTTAGAATCTACCTCAATTTCCCGATCAGTCAAATGAGAAGTTGAATAATAATTTTGAAGATCCTTGTAGGTGTAATAAAAAGATAGAATAGTTAACTACTTTGAATTATTATCATCTCTTTCACATAGAAATAAAATATACAGCCAAAGGCAAATAACAAATATATCGAAACAAATAATAAATATATCCAATCTATACTAGTGTTAAATCACCTCAGATTTGCTTAGGTCCCCAATTAAACAAGACTATAAGAAGTACAGAATCTGGAAAGCAGCATAATGTCTGTCTTATTCACTATATCCCCAGTATCTTATGAGGCAGTCAAAAAAACTCACAAATTTCTTCAAATACTAAGTACCTAATATGTTACAGGGATTTTCCTAGCCACTAGAAATACATCAGGGAAAAGATAATCAACATCCCTGAACTGATCTGATGAAACTTCAGGTCTGGTATGGCCAACTCTCAATAAACAAATGCAAAGATGTAAGGAATAATGTTATTTTTAATAATAACCTGTCATTTTGGTCTGTATTTTCATATTATGGGAAAGTGCATATTTCTGATAGGCTTTTGAAACAGAAAATAACTTACAGGTTTCCCATAATATTTTGAAGATCCACAGGGTCCTCCTCATTGGTAGGGAATTACCACTACCGCACTGATAAGAAAATTTAAACTGGTGCTTGATATTGGCAGAAAAAATGTCAAAGAATATTAGAGAATAATGCCTTACGCAAATCCTCAAAACAATACCAATTGTCTTAGTCATAATGAACAAACTTTCATTTTAGTTCTTTGCAGTCTCAAGCTTCTAAAAGATGTGTATTTATATGGAAGTTCTTGGATAAAAGAGAATAGACACATGTATGTACAATCACTCTACCTGCTGGACACCATGTTTCCAGTCAGATAAGGCAAGTCACTTCTGTTTTTGTTAGCCACCTTTGTTAACACTAATGGAAAAGATGATGGAGTCCTTCCAACTGACACAACTTCACAAATCTGCACAAGTAACAGGTCTTTTATCAAATTAGTTGTTCAGCAGCTCCCCTGCTCCCCCTGCCCCCCGCCACAAATAAACTTTTTTGAGGACAGGGAAGGCAATGTTCTAATCTTTGTGTTCCTGATGGCCAATAATATTACACTGGAACAAAGCCGGCATTTGACAAAAACACTGTGTATCATCTATGTGCTAGAAATTACAAATGCCTCAGTAATCTGCTCAACCCTGTATAGCAGGTAGCTTATCACTAAGGTATACAAAAGGGTACATATGCAACAAAGGCTTGGTGAATGAAGACAGCAGCGTAAATCCATTAGATTTACAGGGAAATCTGGTT